GATTGTTTCTAAGATCGTGCTATAACTTATAAGAACGCAGCCAGCTTGCTGAGAAATAAGAACGTCCCAGGCTAACCTCTTGCTTTTAATTGCGGAAACAACGTTAGGGCTCACAGTTGCGTACATTCAACATCAGCGCCATTTTGTTCCACGAGGTGCTGGCGTGATCAGTGAAAACCGTGTTTCAGCCAATCACCGGGCTTGGAATTTTGAATATTTTTTGAATCTTCTATCGATTCGTTCTAAAGATTTTTTTTTTTTTTTTTTTTTTTTGGTAAACCGGCCTCTTGTACGGGCAGAATTAAGTAACACAGTGATACAATAAAAACAAGTACCAGTAGTTACATACATGGACCATACGAGAAAAAGCAGTGATGACGAGGCATAAACAAGTGTCTAGTGCTGTATGGCAGCTTCCGAGACAGCGAGTCGAGCGGATGACTCAGCCACCTCCGGGTGCGAATACAGCCGTCGTGCACCACGCAGGCAAGCCACGCCTGCACGGAGAAGGGCGAAGCTGAACCTGCAGCGGATCCATGCCATCACTGCAGAGTATGGCTCACCAGATTTGTCGGAGACCATTGCAGCTATTCTCTTGAGGAGAGCGGCAGCAGCTCGACCAGTACCACCAGTTGCAGCGAAAACCACAGGGATGAAGGTTCCACGCTCGACCTCCTTGACGCGCTGTTCGTATCGCCTCCGTTTTTCACGTTCATGACGCTGGTAGCAAGCGGTGATGGAAGAGGATCGATTTGAGGGAGCAAAGGGGTTGAAAACCCGAATATCGAGAAAGACTCTCTCAAACCGACCTCCCCAAACACCACTCGCCGCAACATCAAGTCGAGCCTGGTCTTCTGTGGAGGCAGTCTTGTAGCGGAGCTGCTCACCAGAGAGCGGTTGTAAGTGTGGCTCGATAGCGACACCATTGGCGACACGTTTCAATAGCGAGGCAGTGATGTCCCGCACCTCATTGTGTCGAAGTGACGGGAAACCTCCGGTGCTGCATGTCAGGGCATGGGCTACTGTGAAGCTGGCTCCACAGACACAGGTTGACGGTAAGCGAGAAGGCCGCCAGCCATAGCGCAGTGCCAAACCATCGCGGAACTCGCTTTTGGATAGCACAAATCCATGACGGGATAGCGGACGACAAGTAAGCCAGCTGGAGGCGCCAGGCTCACTTGCCAACTGAATTATTCGTTCTAAAGATCGACTGGCCGGAGAGCCATGAAATTTTCAGGGAGGATTCCTTGGCTGAAGGACTACAGGATTACCGAACGATTTTTTCAAATCCGTGCTCTGAGACCCACGAACGGGATTTTGTGGATTTTCGTCCCCCGATGGGACAAACATCTGTGGGAATCGATGACACAAGCTCGGTGAAACCCAAAAATATGGCTCGGTAATCCTCTGGCCAGGTCCCTCAAGAAAATTTTGAGCCATAGATCGTCAAAATCGGAGCAACCATTGTGCAGTTCTTACATTTTGAAGCGCGCAAGGTCAAGAAGAAGACCGTGCGCAAGCTGACATGACAGAAAACGGCAACTCAAGAAAAAAATAATGATGATGCGCAACCTTGTCACGCATACCACCACAGATTTCCTGTACCCTGCGTGCGGAAAACATCGCTTTGCATTCCAGAAAAGCTCACTTACCTAAAATACGTGTTGGTCACCTCGCAAGGCGATCAGCGCCGTGTTCGAGTGATTTGTTTTGTGCGCTCATTTTGTTCTTCATGGACTCAGCTCCGCAAACGTTCCCGGAAACGACCTTGCAACTACTTTCTGATCGTGGATGGACGGCTTGTTCGTGGCCTGTTTGCCTAGGGTCGTGAGAAGCGCCGCAGATCTTTGCTCAAACTACAAAAATTACGCGACGGCGTGCACAACTCTTGTTCACCTGCCGTTTCGTTCACTGCGCAGTGGAACGAACTCCTTTCCTTAGGGCCTTCCAAATCCATGGTCAGGTGTGGGTAGAGCCGAGTGTGAGCTGGTCATTGTGGAGTATCGTCGTGGCAGACTAGTACTCTTCATCAGTTTCTTCCCGGGCATTAGTCACGGACCCGAAGCGCTTGTAGGCTTGCGATATTTTTGGGTAGTTCGTCCCTCACTTCACCTTAGCCACAGCTCAGTACCAAGGGTAAGTCACGGAGAACTACCATTGTAATGTTCGATGTCCATCTCCCGAACTACAGAAAAGATCAAGGCCTCCCAAGCTTCTCCATATGCCATCTTCTAGCTACTTGTCGGAAATTTTGTTTGCCGACAGAGCAAGAAAACAGCAGCTCCATCATCATGATCATGCTGCAGCCTGCACGTAGATCAGAGACTACACGCCAGCACAGAACTGCATACAGCTCCGCACGCGAAAGGATCACGTGAACTTGAGTGCCCCAAATCAAAATGGCGCTGATGTCCACTGGCTATCAGCATACGTACTGTGAGCCCTAAACGTTCTTGGGCGCGCGACTCTACTGTACCGTACGGTTTCAAAAAAGTTGTCAGGCTGATGCACGTGCCGGGAAAGTTGAAAATGAACACTTGACTTCTCACTTTGAGAGTTTGCGATATCAAACTTGACAATTTTGACGAAGGAGATGGTATTTTCAGCCAGGATAGTGAACCGAGGTCAGATTAGCAAGGATGTGAGGGAAATGGTCGTGAAGCTGAGTGTTGACGGTCTCTTTTGGCGTGGTATCGCTCCTCTGTTGGATTTGAGTGATCCTACGATACGTAGAATTGTCAGGAAACAAAAATTGACTACATTTCACCACGATCAGACCGACCAAGAGAGACCAGTGCAAGACAAGATCGCCACCATATCATGAAATCAATGGCGAATCGCCTCAAATCCGTCACTGCCTGCGAGCTGAGATGGTGAGCGACGGTGAGAACGCGATTTCTGTGCGTTCTGTGAGACGCAGGTTGCAGATAGCAGGCCTACGTGGCTGTATGGCCATCAAATGGCCCTTCATCAGTGCTGTGAATAAGGCAAAACGCCTTAAATTTGTATAGACGCACAAGGACTGGAGCAGTGATGACTGGTGGTAATTTCTGTGGACTGATGAGTCTAAAATCAACCTCAAGGGCTCTGGTGGTGCAGTTTACGTCAGGAGGTGGACAGGATAGGCTCTGGCTGGCACATGCACCCGCAAAACTGTGAAGCGCCGCGACGGCAATATCAATGTATGGGAGCCATGGCCAGCAACGGCGTAGCGCTCATTTGCCGGGTGATGGATACGATGAATGCGGACCAGTACCTCGCATCCTCCGAAAACATGATGTTGCTGAGCATGATGCAGCTTGTGGGTGGTGTGGGTGGTGTCTTATGGCCGCAAACGCTCCGCAAACAGAACGGAGGCGCGGCAGACGGTGAACGGCATCACTGTCCTGACATGGCCCCTGCAGCCACCTGACCTCAATCCAACTGAGAATCTCTGCAAAATTGCTGGGCTGAAGCAGCACGATGTCGAAATAACCCCCAGAAACCAGTATGAGCTGTGGCGAGTGTGCCAGGAGGTATAGAAGTTGATTTCTCCTCACGAGCACAAGAAGATCGTCGAGTCAATGCGGCAGCGGATGCAAGCGATCATCAAGGCCAAGGGAGGGGTTACAAAGTGGTGGATGTATCTGGAATAGGCCGGGACTGACTTCTAGACTTTAGCTTAGTTGAATACTTTTTAGAAATCACACTATTCCGTGTATCCTGTGGGCGGTTTATGATAGTGCGGGCGTTGGCCATAAGTTTTGACCCACCTTTTACATATACTTGACCACAGTAGTCCCCAGATGACTCTGTGTTTCAGCATTTTTCATTTCTACTTCACTATTCTGCCTGATTCAGAGGTCCTCGACCAAAAATTTAGTAGCTTACAGCCCAAACCTTCAGAATTCGAAAAATCTGCATGGTGGGTCAAAACTTTTGACCACCACTGTAGCTTGTCTAGAAGTGACTGAAAAAACGTCATTTTACAACCATGTTAAAAAAAGCCAAACCACCTCGTACTATACAGTATACTACTCGTTCATGTAGAAAAGGAGGTAGCTCGGTCTCCTTTGACCATTATTAGGGAGTTCAGTTCCGGTCACAGAAAAGCGAAAAGTGCAGTCACAGCTCGCCTGTACAAAGTGAATGGGCGCCTCGTGACTGCAGTTCTAGATGCAGTTCGAGGCCCGAGTATCTTCTCCCGCGGCCTTTTCGGCCTTGTCGATGCTATTTTTAGGTAGCTGAGGTCATTACCTTTCCAATGGTGCCACACATGCCATGCTTCCAAAAATAATGCCTCCGCGCTTGGCGCGGATGCACTTCGAAGTACTAATTTCGACCAGATCCGTACTCGGCCCCACGAAGAACACCCGATTTTCGTGTTCAGCGGCCTCGAATTAGCCTAAACCAAGAGGATTCTAGAACATTAAGGCTCGCGCTTTATCACGGTAGAAGGAAGATGATCACAGAAACCAGCCCACGGCGATTTCCGGGTGGTAGACGAAAAAAATCGAGTGAACTGCGCGCACGCTGTAGGAGCAGTGACGGTGAAAACGTGTGACTTGTGCAAGTAGGCGCGCACGGCATGCGTGCACACTGCATGCATGCACACATCCTGTATCGCCATGTATGTACCAGATAGTGCAGTGCTGGACGGAAACCACACGGCTCACATACATACTTGCATTTACTTCTGTGACTACTTTCTCCCCCGTTTTCCGATCTTCAATCGACTATAACTCTAGATTGCCTTGGAATTTTGGGTTCAAATTTTCACAGGTTGTTTCTCACACCTTCCCGGTTTAGAAAAACTAGCGTTTTATGCAAAACTCGCGAATTTGGTTTTTCAATTGAAGTCCCTACCATTATGTTGACGTGAGCCGCACCGTACGTCAAAAACTCTAGCGGGCGCGACCGCGGCGCGAGGTACCGCGTACCGGTGCCTTCTAAAAAAAGATTTCGTACAAAGAAAGCCTTTTCGTTTTCTTTTTTCATTTCGCGGAAATATGTGCTGGGTTTTTTTAGTTCGAGCTACAAGAACAGGTCAGCTCAGTACTCGTATCGGATAGCATTGAAGTCCTTTCAGTTGATCACCATGATCACTGGCATGGTGCCAGTGGTGGCTGTTGGTAGGCTGTAGTCTTTCCCTTGGTCCATCACAGGACTTGCTCGCGGAGCTGCTTCAACTAGACAATGATCTGGAGGCTGATCTTCTGTGCGAAAGCAGCCTGACGGAAACAAGTCAGCGACGTAATGCTAACACATGTAGAAACACCGAGAAAGTGAGTTACCCACACTACTTCTAGGTGTTAGAGGTCAATAACTACACTCTAGCCAGCTAGAAGTATTGAGATGTGTCAACAGCGATGGTTCATATTTTAATTACATCATGCCTTTGTAGTTTGTACAGTTGCCCGGATTCAGCGATTTATTGTAGCTCATGCCAAAATACTTCTTTCCGAAAATTGAGCTGAAATGCACTGGTTGAAAGCCTACAGGTTTCTGTATGAAAAGGCGAAGCCCCTATTCCGAACCCCACTATGATAGAGTGCCTAGATGCTTTGAGATAAAGATTTTGCAAAATTGGCCCGAAGATGATTGCATTTGTTTTTATTGCTATCTGCATTGCTGGCCCTGGGCCTGTAGCATAAAAAAAGAGTAAAGTTTGCCAGATTTGCGGCCGCATCACCCGACGTGTTGAGGACCACATCAAACAAAGACATTCGCTTCGGCGGCCCACCACTTCGCCCATATACCCTACTTGTCGAATGCAGACCTCACAAGTGAGTCAGGGGGAGAAAGGATATGTCTCTCAACACAACTGGCATGCAACCACCCTATAACCCCGTAAACCGTATCCCTGTTACCCTCAGTCCGGGCACGTGGGCACCTAGTTCGCCGTGGGCGTCGGTACAGTTCATTGCATGTAAAAAGTTGGTACTCGCCCGCATCACCGTGATTGAGAGAGCACTAAACACACTCCCTGTTACCAGCGCAGGTTTTGAACTCGGTACCTCGTGATTCGCTGGCAAGACTACAAGCCAATAGGCCGCACGCCCTGGTGTAGCATAACGTTACGTCGATTTGATGATGCGTAATTGGGCTCGTTAACCAACTATGTACAGCGTTGTGCGATGAAACGATCGCCTCTCATAACTGACTGCATTGCGTTTGCCTCCGTAGTCTGACTTTGGTGTCCCTGAATGCGATGTCGCCGATTTTCCGCACCCCTAGGCCTTCTGGGCACGGAACCGTCTCCTCCAAGGGGTTCGGATGAGGGAGCGGGCAAACGCCCGTATAAAAACATGCACATTCCCTGATGCTTTCGTCACTTCTCATTCTATTCGGAGTTACGACAGGAATAAGACACACTTTTGCTCCTCGAAATTCTCCATGGGGGTATACTTGTTGAATATCAGTCAGAACATGTTGTTTGACGTTTAAAGGGGAAGTTAAGCCAAAAATTTAAATTTCACCAGTTGTAGTCTTCGGGGTGCTGAGGCGAATGGTCTTGGTCCGAGGAAGCTGAGACGCTCCCTTCCTACTTGAATCCCAATCGAACTCGCGCACTTCCACCGAAACTGGGTGACTGCGCCCTACTAGATGGGGATTTGTATGCAAAATGTCACTAAAAGCGCCATTTCGTTCTTATAAAAGCACGGATGACCGCGATTGGCCCATATGTTGTAGTCTTTTGGACGCTGAGTCGACTGGTTTTGGTCCGAAAAGGCTGCGATGCAGCGTTCCTCCTTTATTCCCAATCGAACATGGTTGAACAAGCGGTCACGTGCTCCTGGGTGCCCAAATCACCTGGTCACCACGCCAGCAGGCGAGAACTTTCACACCAAGGTTCAACTCGAGTTCAACTCGAGTGACAGGATTGCACCCAAAAAAGGTCAAACAGGCTAGTAAGTTGTACCCTGCAGGCACGGTGACCAGGTGACTGGCGTACGCAGGAGCACGTGACCGCTTGTTCAACCATGTTCGATTGGGAATAAAGGAGGAACGCTGCATCGCAGCCTTTTCGGACCAAAACCAATCGACTCAGCGTCCAAAAGACTACAACATATGGGCCAATCGCGGTCCTCCATGCTTTTATAAGAACGAAATGGCACTTTTAGTGACATTTTGCATACAAATCCCCATCTAGTAGGGCGCAGTCACCCAGTTTCGGTGGAAGTGCGCGAGTTCGATTGGGATTCAAGTAGGAAGGGAGCGTCTCAGCTTCCTCGGACCACGACCATTCGACTCAGCACCCCGAAGACTACAACTGGTGAAATTTTAATTTTTGCCTTAACTTCCCCTTTAAAACATCCTGGAGAACCTGTGGGGTATGGCGCGCATAGTGACAGCAATTCTCTGACCTTGTGTGATCTTCACCTTTCTCTTGCTGCTCTTTCTTGCATACAGGAATACCTACTTGTACTAGAGCCATGTTTTCAAGTGCTGCCACTTCGGTGGTCAGAAGACAATGTCATCGCTGGCGGGTCCTGCAAAGACTGGCATGTGGAGCAGCGACACCAGTCAGACGTGGCAGCTCTCACATTCAGCCCGACAACATTGTGAAGTCGCCGTTCCCGGACATCGCCGCTCCCGACGCCAACGTTTCGCTGCCGGACTTCTTGTTCTCGGGACAGCGGCGTAACTACACTGCCATCGAGGATGCCGTGACGCGTCGCTCGTTCACCCTAGACCAGCTGGAAAACCACTGTGCCACGTTTGGCGCAGGTCTGGTGCAGCATCTCGGCATGGAACGCGGCGACATTGTTGCAGTGATGTGCCCAAACCGGCCCGAGTACGCCGTGGCGTTCCTGGGCACCATGATGGCCGGTGGCATCGTAACCACTGCCAATACGATCTACACGTCGCACGAGCTGAACAAGCAGCTGACGACCGCCGGTGCCAAGTACGTGTTTACCACGGCCGAGCTCTTGTCTAGCGTCGTGGAAGCGGCCATTGCCAACACCGACATAAAGGGAGTCGTGGTGATGGATACGGACAGCAGCCGGCCGTCATCGCTGAGCTCTAGTGTCAGGGTTGTTCCGCTGTCTCTGCTGTTGCAAACCAGTGCTGGCCTCCTGCCTAGATTCACGGTGGACGCTGCTAAGGACACTGCCGTCATACCGTTCAGCAGTGGCACGACCGGCTTGCCCAAGGGGGTCATGCTCTCGCATCGCAATCTCATAGTCAATGTCCTGCAAATGGCCGACGAGCCGGAGCTCATGTATTTCCGGCAGTCAGAAGACGAGTGCGTGCTGTGCGTCATGCCGTTCTATCACATCTACGGAATGGTCGTCCTGCTTGCCAATGGCATATACCAGGTACGTTGTGTCTAGGATATGCTATGCTCAGTAGGCAACTCGTCTACATTCAAGTATGCACTGCATTTCACACACAATCCAGTGCAGTACTAGTATTACTGTATGTCTACAAATATTCGGCACATACTTTTAAAGTAATTATTTTCGGCTATTTTCGGCCTGGTCATGTTTGGCCAAAATTTGTTGCGGCCGAGATTTTGTTTTGCAAGGTTCAGTGTGACAGTGTATACATTCCGAAAATTTGATGCGGCCGAAAAGGATTTTAGCCCTGGAAGGCTGAAATTTGAATGAATAATGTGGTCATGAAAAGCTAACAGCGGTATACAAAGCTAGCAAAGAACATAACCAAACGAGAACCCACATAAAAAAGAAAGAAGCAGAAAAAAGGTGCTAAGCAGTGCACATTGCAGTACGTTTACCTACGCGATATAGACACCAAAGCTTAGCAAAATCCTAAAGGCCAATTCACAATACAGCTTTTCGCGACGCGACACACGATTTGCGACAGTTGCGACAAGGAAATGCCTGTCGCGTACTGTCGCAAGATACCTGTTGCAGACATTGAAGAAAGTTGAACTTTTGCGACATGCGACGCATGGAGTACAGTTGCTACTTTGGGTGCATGTGCACATAGTACTAAAAGATTGTGAACTCCTAATTCACGCCACACCTACAGTATGTCTACATTGCCAGGGTATATTCTAGGACGAATTTCCAACCGGTTACGGTCCAATGAAGAGTCGGGGGGTCCGGGGGTCCCCCCGCAGAAATGTTTTCCAAAATACAACCCAAATATGGCACTCGACAGCAATTTATCAGATTTCTTGGTGCTGGAGGTAACCGAAGTGTGATGACGGCTAAAAAGGTGTGAAAGCGATGTCGCGCGGAGCTGTTGGACTGTAGCAACGCCGTTGCTACAGCTTGATGACGCGGTTCGACCGCACAAACCGTACAAACTCGTGACCCTCGTACCAGCCCACGCGGCTTCGCTGGAAGTATCCGTCCAGAAAAAAGCGTTTGACCATTCACAGCTCCATCACCCACAGAAAAGTACGGGCGGTTGGAACTGATTTGTAACTTTTCAACCGGTCGCCAACAATTTCAACCGGTCGAAAACCGGTTGGGGCGGTTCTAGAAAATTCCCTGATTGCCACAGCTGCACAACCTTGCCGTAGCCATGTGTATTCTGAGTATATTCACAAGGTTGACATTCACTTTTTTGGTGGTCATCAACTACATGTTGGCACAGTGCTCGTCCACATCTGGAGATCGATATTTTTTTCCCGAAGACGAGACGAACAGGGCCCAAACCTCCTCCCCCCTAAATAAACCAATATTTTCTGTAATAAAATATTGATACTTGTGGATTTTTTAATTTATTTAAGTCCACTATGCTCACTAATAAATGCAGAAAGTGGTGGCTGGGACCTGCTGCTCAGCCGACCTTGGTGATCTCGGCATCTGCAATGCTGCGCCCACACCTCCACTGCAGAAAGGGTAAAGATATGAAGGATTAAAAGAAATGTTGGATAGGAGAAATGGAGGTCAATCAGAACTTTTAAGCGACTTCCTTTGCTTAAAAGCAAAGGAAGTCACTGGCGTGTAATCTCACATGACCATAGCATACAGACTAGAGCCCTTGTGCGAAAGAGTTGTTTGTATAGCGAATTTGCGAAACTAGGAAAATCACAAGAGCGTCAGTTGCTCTCTGCCAGTCAAGACGCAGTAGGTACCTATGGCACCTTTCCTTGAATGACTGCAGCTGCCGTGGGTGCGGTGCTGTTTGCAAGACGTGTTCTGGCAGGCTGTTCCACATTGGGATGTCACAATCGAGGAACCTATTGCGGAGGCTGCTCCATGTGCGTGCCGGGGGTGTCGACTTAATCTGGGCCGGGTGCTGCAGGCACCTTTTCAGGAGCAATGGCGGATTTCTTGAAGGAACTACATTCCTCGCGCAGGTCTGTGAGCTGTTCGGAGAGCTCGTACACACGCCGTTGGAGGCGCTCTTCACGATCCCTTGAATCGTTGGCATGAGAAGTCAGGGTCTGCAACACGCTGTGCACAGTGTGCTCTATACCCGGGAGGCAGTAGAGAAGTTTCATCGTAGGCTCTCCTGCGAGCTCGCCCATGGCGAAGAAGTAATTAGTTCTCCTTGCCTGCTTTACCTACCTACACCCCTAAACCACGCTACACTACTACACTATGCTACACCACTACACTACTACACTATGCTACCCTACACTGCCACTACTACTGACCTACCTGCTTCCAGACCGGCCTGTTGCCTGATTATCTTCTTTGGTTCTGGTGGCAATTCTGCATTGGGACTCACCGACATCTTTTGCCGCATATGCACTCAAGATGGCACACCGCGTTTCTCTCTTTCTACATTCTTCTGATCTCTGGCAGGCAGACGACACAATCAATATTATGTTGGAATACATGACCTGATGACCGGTATTGTGATCTGGCAATCAAACAACTGCACAGAATCACTCCTCCTCAAAAGCTGCTGAACTTTAGCCTTGAACTGGGCCTTGTTTTTTCTGGACAAATGTCCCATGCTAAGGGCAAGTGCATTGCACCAGGCGGCGTCTTCGTTGTCGCTGGCTGGTGCATTTACCCTCTGCTTGGCCAACGACAACACGGTGTTAGCCGTTGATACCAAACTACTAGTCAAGTCCATGTCGTCAGCACGCCGTTTCTTGGCCTTTGGTGCCGTTGCCATTTTCTCCGCAGCTGGTGATGGCAGAGGTGGTGCTGATCGAACGGCGGGTGCTGGGCTGTCCGGTGCTTCCTCCTCTGAGCAATCCTCACCAAGAGGAGACAGGGCCAGAGGAAGAGAGGAAGCCGAGAGAGGGAGAGAGGAAGGCGAGACAGGAAGAGAGGAAGAGAGAGAAGAGGTTGAGGGGGAATGAGGCACAGCGGCAGGGGGGGACACATGTTGCTTCACCAGTGTTTGATGTAGTTATCCTCTTCCTTATTGTTGAGTCTACAAAATTCATGCAACTCCATAAGTGCCATGCAGGAGCAGGAACACAGACGGTTCCGGAGCCACTCCGGGGTAACTTGGAGATGTGCTCCCTCTTCAGACGCACGTAAGTATCGCGTAGATACTTAAATTTCTTTTGACATTCGGCGGGTGATCTCAGCTGGAGATCCTTGGCAGGTTGCGACTCTGCCACCTTCAACCATGCACGCTCCTTCATGAATCTGGAAATAGCATGCACATGAAACAAAGAGGATTACAGGTATAAAGTAGATGAAGTGGTCGATGTGGAGACAACAATTTCAAGTAAGTAATGAACAATTGCAATTGAACTTTATAAATAGGGCACATTTTCCTGCCATGCCAAGAACGAGGCTGATACTCGATGTTATGTATCCCTGAGTACAGTGTGTGCGCCCATGTTATGATCAAGCCTGTCCCAGTCACTGGCGGCATTTCATATTCCGAACAAAAGTGTTCAAACCCCAATCAAGCCATCCAAGTTCCACCCAATTCTGCATGCTATTATATAAGGCAGATCGATCTAATGACTGCGGTGTAGTGTGCAAATTCCAGCACATTCCACACTGGACAACTACATTGTAGCCTAGAATAAATTTCTGTACATGTAAAATGGACAAGAAATGTGAAAGAACAAATCTACCTGTATGCAAGCAAGGCAAGTAACTCACTTGTCCTTGTTATGCTTTGAGGTTTTATCCCACAGACATCCGTACCGTCGCACCTCTTCAACAAAGTACTCCTCGTGGCTCGGCTTTCCTTCCACTACACTCACTTCAGGTGACTCGGGCTCGGGCTGAGAGTGAAAGCTGGAGTCTTGGAGCATCTCAGAAAACGACTGTGAATCATCGAACGTAGCCATTGCCACAATACGTGTACAAGGTGTGGAAATGAAAATCAGTAATACATAAACTGTTTAGGTACTCTTGGTGACACCGTACAGGAAGAGTAGACAGCAACGAAATGAAAACCAAATACAAAAGTCTTCCTTGTCAACAACATGTTCTCGAGCTCCGGGAAATCATTCAAAAAGCAACTCGTCCGAAAAACATTTCCAGACAAAATAAATTGTGAACTCCTACGCACCCGTGCCGCCATTGTTTTTACCATGGTGAAGCGCTGTCGTCTCGCATCGCTATCGCGAAAAGTTGAACTTGGCCAACTTTGGCGTTTTGGTGTTTGCGTTGGTTTGCGAAGCAAGTGCGACGTCGCAAACTCAGCGCATCGCATCGCGCTTTCGCGTCGCAAAAAATGAAGTATGAATCGGCCTTTAGGCTGTCTCCACTTGAGTGGCTAGAGGGTCTACATAATTTCAGCATGGTTGCCTGTAGGAGCCAGACTTGCAAATCACTTAGCTCAGACGACATGGCCTGTAGATCAACTGGACGTCTAACTTATAATTACGATGTAATTTGTGAATACTGTTATGGATATATTCGGTGCGAAATAGCAGACTGAGGGCTCTCTCTCTCTATCTATCTATCTATCTCTGTGTGTGTGTGTGTGTGTGTGTGTCTCTCTCTCTATCTATCTCTCTCTCTCTCTCTCTCTCTCTCTCTCTCTCTCTCTCTCTATTCTTCTTGTCTGGACATGCTCCATACAGAGATGTCGTTTGCTGACAGTGCCTAAGTTTGACCCCAACATCATGCCCGGTATCATCGGTCAGGAGAAGGTGACGCAGCTGTTCGTCGCGCCGCCGTTGATCCTGTTCTTGCTGAACGATCCACGTGGCCAGGCGGCTGACCTGTCCAGCGTGCACTATGCGTTCAGTGCTGCTGCACCACTGGGCCGAGGTGTGCAAGAAGAGCTGAGCAATCGCCTGCAAGGAAAACCAGTCTTACAGGTTAGTTGTGGCTTAAAAATCTAAATGTTAATTTTTTTGCAACCTTCACCGATAAACTACCATAGGAGAAATTGCAAACTCACGAATTCACTGGTTTTTCCCGCCCACTAACGTAAAGCTGCTCAACTTTACGTAGTGCGCAACCTCTCTAATAAGCAATCGTGCGGGTCACGCATCGAGTTCACGGTTTTACCGTGTGACCTGCTGTGGGTAGCAGCGTGCCCGGCTAGTGTGTGCAGACTGTGTCCGTGAGCTCAGTATGCTTCACTCCCACAGTATGGTCAGCCAGGGGCGTGTGCAGATTGGAGCGTGCACCATACCCTCGCACCGAAACACGAAAACAAAAAAGGTCATGCATGCATATGCGTGATTGACTGATTGACATGATACTAGTACATGTGCTTGCACAAGGGGGCACCATCCCTCCCTCCTCCCCCCCCCCCCCCCCCCCACACACACACACAAACTGGTGTTGATGTGACCAATGGACGCAAGAGGTGTCAAGGAGTCACGGAGGCAACGCTGGGACAGATCGACTTCTAGATGCACAGCACTTTTTTGGTGCATGAACATCTGTCCGGTCAGCACAGGATTCCGCTTGGTACAGTGTCTGGCAAACACAGGTTTCACTCTATGTCTGCTATTATAGAAAAGAAATACTCATCGTTTGAGTCTCACCCGGACTCACCATCACTCTATTCCTCCGGCTTCAATTCACCAGAACTTAGAGAGCTTGATCAAAGTCACGAAGTTTTGGTTTCCGGTGGAAGAACGTTATTCTGAAGTTCCAATGTGTTTGTCATTTTCATTTTTTTTCCCTCTGAAGGGCTATGGGCTGACAGAGCTCAGTCCCATTTGCCATGCCTCGCCGAGAAGCAGCTACAAGCTGGGCTCCATCGGTCTTCCGGTACCCAGCACAGAGGTGAAGATCTGCAGCCTTGATGGCGAGAAGCGATCGCTGTCAGCACATGAGAATGGAGAGGTGTGTGTCCGCGGCCCTCAGGTGAGAGATGCATCATAATTTTTGGATTGGTGCTGCACATGGCTAATGCTGACGACATCGGTAGTTTATTAAGACGTTTGAAAATTGACTGAGGGTTTTGTCTAGGGGCTTCAAGATTTAATGGAGAGGTGTGTGTCCGCGGCCCCTTACTGGGCCTTAGGTGAGAGACACCTTTTAGTACGCGCATTGCCAAATATGGAATGCATGAGTAATGCATGTGAGTACGCTGGGGTCAGGAATGCACTGTTCAACACACCGCACACAGCTGTGCCGCGGTGTGTCTGTGCGGGGTGTTGGCAATACAAATAGGGCTTGAAAGTGATGGCGTCAAAAACGGCCTGGGAGTAGTAAGTTGACATCAAATTTCTATTTTGGATCCACTAAGGTGTGACTTTGCTATTGCCTCAGTATGTGGGTGCATAGCAACCCACTCATGTCGTATGCAGGTGCGACTTTTACTTCGCCACCAGTTGTCATCCCGCCCCCACTAGCCAAATCAGTCAGTTTCACTGGCTACATCACCTTGCTGTGAGTAAGACCGCTTGAAATGTGCTTGGATCCATACAAAAACTGGACCCCAGGTGGATCCAGTTTTTGAATTTTTCAAATTGTTGCTATGCTGTTGCTATACTGTGACGTAGCACTTTCAAGCCCTATTGCGTCATTGCGCTTTGGGCGTATTAGTGCTGCACGAGGCTAGTGATGAAGACATCGGTAGCTTTATAAGATGTTTTAAATTAACCGTGAGCTTGTCTAGTGGCTTCAAGAAGTACTGGAGATGTGGATTCATGATTGTGCAAGCTACAATTATTACAATGCTCTCCTGTTCATGGTTGTTCAGGTGTTCCAAGGGTATCTGAATCGTCCCGAGGCCACCGCCGAGATGCTGGACTCGGATGGCTGGCTGCATACGGGCGATATCGGACACTACGACGAAGACGGCCACTTCTTCATTGTCGACCGGCTCAAGGAGCTCATCAAGGTGAAAGGTGAGAATACACTCCGGACTGTTGGTTTAGTAAAAATACCAATGTGTTCATGTGCTTTCAGGTGAAGACTTTTTTTAGAATTCCGTAATATTAGTACTCTTTGTTTAGCACTGAATAGAATTTTTGGCTGTAAAAGTTGTTGTATGCCAGGCACAGGGAAAGAGCATTGTATGCTGTGGTTGTTGACTGCCAGGGACCAGGTGAGAGCAGGGTGTGCTGCCGTTTTTGTTGTGTATGACATTTAAAATGCGAAGGCATCGGTCTCACGTTACGTTGCTGCTGTTGAAAATGCACACGGCCACAAGCAGGTGTTTTCATGTCAGGATGACAGCTGTGTTGCGGACATGTCTCTGCAGGGTACCAGGTGGCTCCCGCTGAGCTCGAGGCTGAGCTTCTCCATCACCCGGACATCGCAGATGCTGCTGCAATAGGCGTGCCTCATGAGAGGTTTGGCGAAGCGCCACGCGCCTTCGTTGTCAGGCGGCCAGGCTCAGACATCACCGAGGAGACCGTAGCGGAGTTCATCTCATCACGGGTGAGTGTGGCGCACTAGAGAGATTACACATCCGGGGAAGACGTTGATGTGATGTAGTGACTGTAGTATCGGGGATTGCAATGAAAAGGATAAAGTGCACAGTCATTCTATGTTATCTTGCATCTAGAATGACTGCGCACTTTATCTTATTCATTGCAATTTTAAAACTTTTGTCTCCTCGCCGACTCTTCATATATCGGGGATTGCTCATGCAGTGAAGCCTGTCTAGGCCGACCACTCGCGGACCCCTCAACACGTGGTCCTGTGTACAACAGGTGGTCGGTCCCCTTTTCCGGGGTAATCTCAGTGCAAGTGATACCCTTCGGTCCTGGATTTTGTAGTCCTACAGGTGGTGGTGGTCGTCTTGACAGATTTTACTGTACATGTGTGTCCGGTACTCAACAGGTGTCCAGCACAGTCTATTTAGGAAAATCGCCCTATTAGAGAAAGAAGTCCCGAAGAAAAAAAGTGCCCAAGGCCACCCTACTTTGATCCACAGGGTGATGTGTCCTCTTCAATTTGGTATGGTTTTTATATGGGGTCACCATGCATAAGAGTTGTTCATGCACTTCTACTGAGTGCACACTCTCTTTCTTTTTAGCAAAACAGGAAGGGGGGGGGGGGGGGGGGAGGCCAGATTTCTATGTGGGGGATGAGGTTCTCTACATTGTGGCACACGCAAAGATAATGCGTACAGACCTGGCGCGTATCATTAAAGCCAGAAAACTGCCTAATTTGGAACGGGAAATTCTCAGTACACATTCCGCGTGATTTCTTAATCTTTATGTGAACGTAGAGCAGAACAGGTTTCCTTTACATTACAGGAACGTGAAGGGAGTTCCCGGGATTCTTACGTTTCCGTAACGTGGAGCAGAACATCACTGATAAGCAGTGGCTTGGCTTTTCTAGAGGCTTCAGTTTGACCTTGTGAGTTCCCGTTCCAGAATCTCCTCTTGCCTGCGACATCTTGTCCACGAACACCTTTGTTTGTGTGGTGATACTCTGCGATCCTTGAGCCCCAATGGAAGCTATCATGAAGAGTTCTGGTGGTGTGTCGCCGGGTACAGTACTTCAGGCCGAGCACCAGACAGTGAGACTACCTGGACATGACTATAGCAGAGAGCAGTAGTGCGAGTATCATGGAGTGGTGGTGGTGGTTGTGGTACAGTGCTGCTTTTTGAAATCCGAGCGCACGAGTCAAGCACGCGCTGGGCACCGTGCAGCCCCGGACCTGCCAACACTCCATGGACTGGGGCGCTGGTGCAGGGCGCTGCCGACTTGCCTCAAGCGATCTCACTTCATTGAGCAGCACTGCTGGTCTTGTGATCACATGCCCTCTGTGTATGGTTAGATAGCGATTCATCAAGTTTTGGGCCGATGAAGTTGTTGGGCCAGGTAACGAGCAGGTGTATTCAACATAAACAGTACATGTGCGCACTGGCCAACATCTCTACATTGGCCAATGGACATCAAGCTGCTGTCGTAGTAATTTCTCAACATCAACAGTACATGAGCACACTGGCCAACATCTCTACATTGGCCAATGGCAATGGACATCAAGTTGCTGTCGTAGTAACTTCCTGAATTCTGGAGTTGTACATCGACACTTTGCAGCCCAGTACAGTGCCCATCTCAGGTTCTGTTGGTTCCTGCTGTCTTGCCAGACATCAGCAGGTAAACTGGCTAGCTGCTATTTATTTCATTAGCTACTGCCTGTACTTCATGGCACGTAATGGATAAACTTGAACACGCCAATACAGACAAGTGAAGGTGAGAGCAACAATACTTCTTCTTTTTAGGAAGGATGCAGATGCATCGATGATTCAGTGCAGACACTGCCAGCTTGGTCACCCACTTTTCTCCTCCGTGATGATCAAAGCGCATGCCTGCAGTGGGACAATCCTGCTGACCCGTTGTTTGGGCTCCGCAGTTCAGCGGCGTGTCGCTGAACTGGAGAACATTGCGAGATCAGATCACTGGGTTGAAATGTGTGCGTTTTGACGGGCACAATGGCAAGCAAGATTGAATGAATAGCACCGCGGGCTACATCCCGTACAGTAGTGACTTTACTCGCAGACTGATTAGCCAGCAACTCACTGACTACCTGGTCTACACAGTACAGTACAGTGACGAGTGGATGTAACCGGGCTAGCAACTAACTAGCTAATAACAACACAATCATAGTCTTGATCAGATTGACTGAGCTACCATGCTGAGTGCACTCAAGCCATAACCATCCGCACTGAGCAAAGTCACTCACAGTCTTGATATTGCCGTGAAACATGGTTATCCTGGTGATGCTGTATATCAGAGCACTAGTGCGCAGTCATTCACTACCAACGCGGCACACACACACGCGCACACACATGACAGAATGATACCCTGTACAATATGCACCACGGTGTGTATGTACGGTGTGTAGCGTATGCTAGTAGTCGCACTTTCTTGGAACTTCAACTAGCCAGCGACTGCCAATGCCAGAGTAGTGTTATGTCCTTTTGAATTCTCTTCAAGCCACGGGCTCCTTCAGCCATGCCAGGTAGTCAAGATCTGGAAGATCATAACCTTCAGCGTTACGGCAACGATGTAGTACGTGGGTATGCTCGTGCTTCGCCATCTTCCCAGGTCTGACTGGGTGCTTGTGCCCTGTTGCCTTGCCGCTTTCGGTGGCCGTGGAGGTCGCTGGTGCAGGGCGCTGCCGACTTGTCTCAAGCGATCTCACTTCATTGAGCAGCACTGCTGGTCTTGTGATCACATGCCCTCTGTGTATGGTTAGATAGCGATTCATCAAGTTTTGGGCCGATGAAGTTGTTGGGCCAGGTAACGAGCAGGTGTATTCAACGTAAACAGTACATGAGCACACTGGCCAACATCTCTACATTGGCCAATGGACATCAAGCTGCTGTCGTAGTAATTTCTCAACATCAACAGTACATGAGCACACTGGCCAACATCTCTACATTGGCCAATGGCAATGGACATCAAGTTGCTGTCGTACTAATTTCCCGAACTCTGGAGTCGTACATCGACACTTTGCAGCCCAGTACAGTGCCCATCTCAGGTTCCGTTGGTTCCTGCTGTCTTGCCAGACATCAGCAGGTAAACTGGCTAGCTGCTATTTATTTCATTAGCTACTGCCTGTACTTCATGGCACGTAATGGATAAACTTGAAGAAGCCAATACGGGCAAGTGAAGGTGAGAGCAACAATACTTTTTTTTTTAGGAAATGAAGAAAATGATGCAGATGCATCGATGATTCAGTACAGATACTGCCAGCTTGGTCACCCACTTTTCTTCTCAGTGGTGATCAAAGCGCATGCCTGCAGTGCGACAATCCTGCTGACCCGTTGTTCGGGCTCCGCAGTTCAGCGGCATGTCGCTGAACTGCGGAGAACATTGCGAAATCAGATCACTGGGTTGAAACGTGTGCGTTTTGACGGGCACAATGGCAAGCAAGATTGAACGGATAGCACCACGGGCTACATCCCATACAGTAGTGACTTTACTCGCAGACTGATTAGCCAGCAACTCACTGGCTATCTGGTCTACACAGTACAGTGAGGAGTGGATGTAATCGTGCTAGCAACTAACTAGCTAATAACAACACACTCATAGTCTTGATCAGATTGACTGAGCTACCATGCTGAGTACAGCTGAGCGCACTCGAACCGTAACCATCCGCACTGAGCAAAGTCACTCACAGTCTTGATATTGCCATGAAACATGGCACCCTGGTGATTCTATATTATATCAGAAGCACTTGTGTGCAGTCACTCACTACCAACGCGGCACACACACACACGCGCACACACCCATGACAGAATGATACACTGTACAACATGCACCACGGTGTGTATGTCCAGTGTATACAGTGCAGGATAGCGTACGCTAGTAGTCACACTTTCTTGGAACTTCAACTAGCCAGCGACTGCCAATGCCAGAGTAGTGTTATGTCCTTTCGAATTCTCTTCAAGCCGCGGGCTCCTTCAGCCATGCCGGGTAGTCAAGATCTGGAAGAGCATAGCCTTCAGCGTTACGGCAACGATATAGTACGTGGGTATGCTCGTGCTTCGCCGTCTTCCCAGGTCTGGCTGCCTGCTTGTGCCCTGTTGCCTTGCCGCTTTCGGTGGTCGTGGAGGTCGCCAAGACCAGGCATCCAGCCATTCCTTCTTACACGCGTGGCTCTTGACTTGGCGCTCCCGGCATCTTCTGGCTATGCCAGCACACTCTACAGGTCACTGCAAGAGTGGGTAAGCTTCAGGCGGGCCAGAGACAAGCCAGACTAGATATTACAATCTTGTTGGCCATGGTGTCTCGGAGATCTGACTTTGGTATAGCTCGCCGGAGCTTTGCAGCATGGCCCTTGCTGTGCCGCCCGTTCTCGTGCCGGCTGTTGTTGACTGGAACGTTGGCAAGTCCGCCTAGCGCTGGGCGGGCTGGGGAGAAGGGTGAAAAAGATACGGGTGCACACACCTTCTTTCGGAGAGACACGGTCGGTTGAGCGCCTTGCAGCCGACGGAGGACGATATGGGTTGAAGACGACATGGCGAGAGCGATGTGGGCGAAGGTAACTTGGGGTGGTGATCCGGGTCGTGGGTTCGGCGAGAGTTGGGCGCCAATATCGAGTTCTCAAAGTTCCATATTGCCGCAATCACAACAGCCAAAGGACAAGGTAGGTTGGGGATTGGGAAGACATTTATTACGGAAACGACAAGGAGGGAGGGAGCGAGACGAACGTCTACATGATAAGGAGGGCGAGTGCGGGAGGGAAAGCGAGAAAGAAAGAGCTAGATAACGGGCCTGGATAACAATGGCAAACATGGGCACGGCAGCAGCTACCCAGGCCAAAGAACCAGAATGGGTTGAGCTAAAGAGTAATCGATAGGTGAATATCCACGATCGTTTCAGCCCTAAAATTACATGTATATACATGTATGCGAGTATGATAGAAACGTCTTTGCAATACGGCTATTGGCCTGTGTATTGAAAAGAAGTTTCTATCATTTCGAATAACACGCACAATGACCTAGGTAAAAATGATGCGTGGCGAGGGCTCTGGGCCTTCAAGCCCTCTCGTTTTTGTTTAGGTCATGAAAGGTCAACTTGTAACCAGAAAATATGCTACTTGTAGTATGTAAAGTTCTGCACAGTGAAATCTGATCGCGTGAATCAAGTAAGTTTGTGCCGTGCATCAGTTCTCCATCCCAGTGTTTGCAGGTCTTAGCGTCTAGGTATGCACAGTGGCCGGCGGCGGGGCGTTGCCTGACACAGTGGCCGGCGGCGGGGCGTTGCCTGACACAGTGGCCGGCGGCGGGGCGTTGCCTGACTTGATCGGATTTCATTGAGCAGCACTGTACATGTGGGCTGATTCCAAACCCATTTCCGGCGGGATTAGACAGGCGTTGAGCCCAGCTCGCCTTTTAGCGGGATTCACAGAAACATGTTTGCGATGCGACGGCCGCACGACCTGGAAACCCCCAAATAGCAGCCATCTCGCAGCTCACGCAACTGTCACAACTGGGACATCGCAGAAGTTGAGCTTGGCTCAACTTTCGCGATGCGATGCGATGTACGATTTTGACCTTTTTTTTGCACAAAAGGTTCAAGAGCTGCGTGTAGATTTGTAAAAGTTGTACCCAACCACACGAATACTTAGAAAGTACCATGGTGAAGTAGTACTCACGTGTATTGAACGTCGCACCAAATCGGCAAACGATGTCTCATCGCTGACTTCTTCTGTGAATGGTATTTCGCGGGTTTGCATCGCACGACGCCATCGCAGATCGTGTCACATCGCGCATCGCAAATAAAAGAGCTTCTGTGGATCCCGCTTTAGTCCGAGAGATCTATAAAACAGTGAAACCTGTCTAAGACGACCGCTCAAGGGACCTTCAAAATGTGGTCTCTGTCATCAGCAAGAAAGATTTCAAAATTGCAGGGAGGACGAAGGTACATGTTCGACTAGAACACAGAAGCTGATGGTTTGACAGACCAAACAACTAGTGAGTCTGGGTTAACTAAAACGAGTAGTGGTCTCCTTATCCAGGGCCACTTGACTGGAAATAGCATCCCTTAGTCCTGGTTGCAGTGGTCTTCTAGGACAGGTGGTCGCCTTATCCGAGTTGTCGCCTTGACAGGTTTTGCTGTACAGTTGAACATCGATTATCCGCACATCGACTATCCGACCATTCGATTATCCGTAACAGTTTTTTTGGGCGCACGTGCCGTAGAGTACGCACTGTGCATGTAGTGAGCCATTCAAAAAATATGAAAATTTTGAAAAGTAAAAAGGTCGTACATGTACATGTACATGTTTCTTATCCGGAACATTTGCCTTATCTGAACACCGCCTGACAGTTGTCTGCCCAGAGGTGGTCGGATAATCGATGTTCAACTGTATATGAATTAGACTGTAAAAGAGGGTCTACTGTGCCTGCAGCCTAGTCTAGGTGAAAGCAACTCAGTATTGCTAGTGCTGCTCTAGGTTAGACTGCACTGCATTGTATCCTTCGGACCATTGTCAGGGAGGGGCGTAGCTGGTCCCCTTTTTAGGGGGTGCATAGCCACGTATGTATAGGATGACTGATGCATGTCATTCATGGTCATTACGTGCATGCTGAACCAAGGTCGAAATTGTTAGGGGGTGAACGTGCCCCCCCCCCCCCCCCCATGCGAGCTACGCACCTGATTGTCTTGGGTGTTCACTGGACACCATTGTTCTCTGTGTGCATTCCTCCCCCGCAGTTGGCATCCTACAAGCATCTGGTCGGTGGCGTTGAGTTCATGGATCAGCTGCCGAAATCGCCAGCTGGAAAGCTACTACGCCACGTGCTCAGGAAAAGATGAATGGATCGTTACGTTTCATGGATTTGCCGCGGCTCTAGCCTGGCATTGTCTCTCACTGTCGGCACCAATGTCATCCCTCATCCTACCTAGCGTGGCCACTGCTCAGTGTCAGCAGGGTGCTGGTATTTAGCCACCAATGGGAACGCTGTATGCGCAAGCCATGGGTACTGTCCATTTGCAGAACAGCCCATGGTACCTGCAGCGCCGACCTCTCCTGGCAAGACAATTTAGTACATTATTTTTTTCTTCGTTTTGAGCTTATTTACCCAACCAACTAGTTTGTCTTGGTATGGCTTTACCAACTGCTGAATAGGGTGTGCGAGTAGCGCTAGTGTTGACCCTGAGTGAACTATTTCCGCATCACTCAATAGTAATTACTCATTAGTGTTGTCCGAGCTGAGCATTGGTGCTGTATTTGAGTTATTTATGAGCACCGGCATTCCGGCCAGCTTTTTTTCTTCTTTTTTCATCCCTGTGGCTGTGACCGAGTTTCTTTTTAGTCCTGTCTTGTGGTGGTAGTGGCCCAGCGTATGGGCAACAGCAGTTGTGCATGGTGTCAAACAGCTGCACACCAACACGCTCTGCGTAAATGAGTCTACTCTCTTTCTTTTTACTTTTTTAATTTATTTATCCGTCGCCCCCAACATTTCACATTTTTAGTCTTTAGGTAGGTTTTAGATACTTTACAGGTGTATTATAATTATTGGCTGTGCACTTCGCATTGCATGTACATCTACACAACCTCTGGACATGTCGACATGCGACAGCTGGCTGTTTGACAATGATTGAAATTGTACCCCTTCTGTGCAGAATTTAATTTTTTTTATAAGCGACCTTGTCTCTGAGAAGTGAGATCGAGCTTCAACACGTCAAACTCCCTCGCGTGACCTGTGAAGCTGTCTAATAATAATAATAATAATCTTTATTTCAGGATTACCCAAAGGCTAACGCCTATCTGGGGGTTGATCTTGAGAGTTGAGTCCGGCCTCTTGCTTGGGTGTGCATACTTTTTACTAGGCATTGGCGGATTCTGCTCAAAAATCAGTGAAATTGGCAGAATTATACATACCTCATGGCGCCTCGAATTCTGCTCCATTTCTTTATCCACATACCAAACATGCATGAAACTTACCAGAAAAGTACCGAATTCTGCCAATTTTTCTGCCGGCATTATCCAGTGTTATCCGCATATGCCTAGTGCATACCAGTGTGTTGTGCGGTCATTGCATGCATGCAGTGCATAGCCATGGCGCCGAGACCTACACAATCCGACGCTTAAAGCAGCATACATTCTCTGCAGAAACGAGTACCGCAACACCATACGGAAAGCTCGACACTCGTATTTGTCTACACTGGGGACATCGAGGCTAAGCAAAGGCAGAGCAGGCGGCTACTCGTGGTGGAAAAGAGCAAAGAAGATATGCAACATTGGCAGTAAGCCGCGTGGAATACAACTTCTCGCGGATGATGACGGCACCACCCATCTAGCAAAGCCAAAGCTGAAATCCTTTGTGAATTCTTCAGGAAGCAATGCACCGCAAATTCCCCAAATCAGCAACCAGGTCGTTGTCCATCATCCAGCACCATTGATGACCAAGAGCCATTTTCGTTCACAAAAATCAAATCCACAGATGTCTATGAAGCTGCAAGAACATTGTCTGTGCACAAATCATCTGCTGACAGTTACCTATCAAATGCCGTCCTCAGCCGCTGTGCAGACATCCTGTGTGTACCTCTGGCTAAACTATTCAACTACAGTCTCGAGCAAGGCGAGTTCCCTTCCGCTTGGAAGATGGCCACGATTATCCCAGTGTACAAGGAGAAAGGTTGCCCAACTCACCCTACGAACTACCGCCCAATATCCCTCCTCCCCTGTATAGCAAAACTCTTCGAAAAAATAGTAGCGAAACAACTCCAGGCTAACCTAACAATAAAACAGAAGATATGCAGTCAACAATACGCATACGTGAAGGAGAAGTCTGCGACAGACCAGCTTATTATACTTACCCAGCAAATGGCCGACTACATTGATGAGCGTCTGAACTTCGACCTCGTCTCCCTAGATTTCTGCAAGGCATTTGACAGAGTAAGTCAGTAAGCCACTCAACTCTCCTCCGTCAAGTCAGCAAATTCTCTGACCATAAAGTCACTGCCTGGACTAAGAGTTATTTGCAGGATCGAAGCATAGCCGTGAAGATTGAGTCATGCATGTCAGTGCCCAAAGTCACCAACTGTGGTGTTCCCCAGGGATCGCATCTGTCTCCTCTACTGTTCGTGATCTACATTAATGACCTACCAGAAGCCATACATCATTCGCACACCTTCTTGTTTGCGGGTGATGTCACTCTACTTTTGCCGTACAAAGGCTCTCTGTCAAGTCCTTGTAATTGTATCCAAGCGGACATTCATGCATGTCAAAACTGGGCCAGGGAAAGAGGCGGAGAGTTTTCGCCCTCAAAAACTTCTGTTTTAAGCTTCCGTAAGAAGCCAGCGGCAGCATCATCACCAGCACCAACATCTGCCACCTACACTATGGAGGGTCTACCTCTTCCCAGTATTGACATCCTCAAACATCTTGGAGTTCGCTTCAGTGCAAACCTAAACTTCCGTCAACACTACCTTGACATCAGTCGCAAATTCAAGCAGAGAGTAAGCCTACTTTGTCACATGGCACATCGTCTTACACCGCAGGCCATGATGCTCCTCTACAAGTGCTATGTTAGACCTGTGATTGAGTATAGCGTCGTAGTGTAGTCCTTTCGTCTTCGTTCAAGCGACTTGACTGAGCTGGATAGAGTCCAGGCCAGGTTTGCAAGATCCTACCTTAGGAAACGCAAAGTCCAAATCGACTTTAATACACCCAAGCAGGATCTTAATAAAAAAGCTAACATTGAATCCCTTCTTTACCGCAGGCAGTTTTTAAGCTTGGTTACCATGCACAAATTTATTTTCAAGTATCGACGTTGCCTAGCTTCATTCCATTTCAATATCACGCAGAGTGCGAGACGCCCTAACAAAATTATTCTCCCTAAAGCAAAGACCACATCAAAATCGTTGTTTCTCTTCCAAACCTCCCTCTTATGGAACTGCCTCCCACCAAGACTAACTGCAGAACCATCCATTATTGTTTTCAAGAATGAGCTTCGCAAACTCACTTGCAAACATAGTGCTTCGCTCTCCGGTATGCCTACGCCATGTACATAACCCCCCGTGTGCTCCCCAATGCATTCACGCTGCACAACTTTTCACTACTTTCACTTTAGCTCATACGTGTACATGTACATCCTTCAAAGCGGTGAACCCCTTGATAGGCGACAAGCCTGGGTCATCCTAATAAAGATATTATTTATATTATCTATATATATATTCATGATAATCTGTATAACGACGGTAATGGTTTCTATTGTTCTGTAGTGACATGATTGTGGTCACGCGATGTCCGCTGTGCTTGTCCATTCCTAGCCCCCCTCCCCCATCCTACCTCTAGCCTAGATGCAGGACTGTGTAATTAGTTTGAGCCATGGATGTGTGACCCAAGCGGCCAAAGCAACAATGTCCTTGTTACAAAAGTACAAAAAAACGTCAGGTAGATTGTTCTACGAATACAAAGTAGTCTATACTGTACTAGCACAGCGGCTAGCAGAAAAGAAACTGTCAACTCTGCTGAAGGTGACGCTGCTAGCGTGCAGTGTACATGTAGCCAGATGTCTTCAACCTGAGGCCGGGTACAACTCGCTAAGTAAAGTCTTATGACTGAAATTGCATGACCAGCTGCACCACTGCATCTTTGGACCGTGTTCTACCACAAATTAATTTGTTCTCTCAGTCCACCATTGGTTCACGAGTCGGAATAATCAGTAGGCTACCGCGTCCCGGACTGCTGTCAGCGCGCTGGAGCTTGAACGTGCGCCGCTATTATACCGATGCATATTAGATTTCCATAGCTTGACATAATTGCAGTAAGTAACGTTTGTTGTCGGCTTTCACTTCTTTGGATTGTTTTGCGTACTCGTCCATGTGTTCACCTTGACTTCTCAGTTGCTCCCGTTTGCTGTTGGATGTTTCGCTCGCACACTCACAGAGTCTTGGAAAAACAAAATGAATGAATTTTCTTGTGGAATCTCCTCGATCCTATTTCTTCAAGAATCATGAATGCACATCGATTTTTTCATGCTGTAAACCTCGGTCTTGTGCCACTTAATTAGTTATAGAGGGGTCATGCATATGATAATGATACTGATAGTGATAAGTAAATTATCGTGTCCGTTCCCGAAGGGAACTCACGACGGCCGCTAACACCCGGTAAACCCTAGCGGCAGATGCAGCGCCTAACGGTGGGGGTGAGGGGATAAGTCTCACAACCACTGGCACAAGTGCCAAGAAAGACCCCATTAGCCGCATCCATGATAAGTGATACACATCCTAGTAAGTTTGTACAGTCGTGGCCGAAGAAATCCGACTACGAGTCAAAACGGTAACGCCGCGCTTCCATTTCATCGTGCACGGTCCGAACAGTACAGTCCATCCGAGGGTTACAGGGGTTGCGTGAGCCTTGTGCTGCTTTTGGCACACGGGTCTGATTTCTTTGGCCACGACTGTAGGTTCCTGCTTGAAGCGTGAATTTACTATCATATCGTTTAGATCTGTCTACCGCACCGCAGCGCACTCTTGGCTGACCCACACGTCTTGTCAACTGAGCGAGGATTTCCCCGCTGTCTAGACAGGCCGGAAAGGGAAATGTTATTCTGTGCTCAGAACTTACAAGCAAACAAAATGCACTTCGACCGGTTTCCGGTCACGTGATCGCTTCATATGGTCTCCCGTGAAAAGAGGTGAAATGTTTTCGTATCCTATAAGGGGTCGTCCATAAATATCGAAGTTTTTTTCACAAAACGAAATAATTTCGTTATGGGGTGGGAGGGGGTTGACCAATTTCGTTTCAGAAAACATTGTATCATGTACATGGCCGTTGTATATGCATGTATGTCAACATTTTTTACGTTCTGAGGGGGAGGGAGGGAGGGGTTGGGTCTAAACTAAAATAATTCGTTTGGTGAAAAAAGTTCGATATTTACGGACTAACTGACGTTCAAATTCGCGCCTGCTGTTGCGTTGATCTGTCAAATCAGCACCACTTGCCATAGCAACGCCCACACATTGCAGACACGTATCCGCATACTGGTAAGCCACTCTATACAAAGTAGATTGTAAGTCTACAAATTTTCGGCCCATTCAAATTTCGGCCTCCCTGTCTAAAACCCATTTCAGCCGCATCAAAATTTCGACCCGTACTGCTGCCCCCTGTATACACTGTCACACTGAACCTTGCGAAACAAAATTTCGGCCGCATCAAATTTTTTCGGCCAAACATGACCGGGCCGAAAATAGATATCCGCCGAATATTTGTTGACTTAGAGTACAATGATGTCATTCACTCCATAAAAACACTCACGATGAGGTCATCCACGTCATCTCTTTGGTACTAGTATGTGTCTTCGCGAGCACCCTGCTGACTTAAGGATCGTGTTACTGTGTGTGTTCCGGTGCCTGTTGTCAGTGCACCAGTTGACAACTTAGACTCCCACTGCCGTCATGCTTCGTACACTTCTAAGCCGTTCCCGTCATTCACGACTACCCAGGGGACCGCCGTCTGGCAGCACCTGCACCCGCGCCTGGCAACAGTGCAGACACGCTAGCGCCGAGACATGTCGTCATGACAACATAGTGCACTCCCCGTTCGCAGACATCGAGTTTCCGGCCGGCAACGTGACTCTACCAGAGTTTGTGTTCTCGGGTCCTCGGCGAAGCTACACAGCCATGGAGGATGCCACCACGGGCCTCAAGTACACCCTGGACCAAGTAGAAGAGAATTGTGCACGGTTCGGCGCTGGCCTCGTGGAGCATCTGGGCATGCAGCGCGGCGACGTGGTCACCGTCCTGTGCCCCAACCGGCCCGAGTACGCGCCGGCGTTCCTGGGCACCATGATGGCTGGTGGCGTGGTCAGCACGGCCAACACTGTGTACACGTCGCACGAGCTGCACAAGCAGCTCCACACCGCCGGTGCCAAGTATGTGTTCACCACCACTGAGCTATTCACAACAGTGGTGGAGCAAGCGATTATCAACACTGACGTCAAGGGCGTCATCCTATTGGACACTGATGGGACGCGGCCCTCCAGTATTGGCAACAACAACGTCACCGTTGCTCCATTTCAGCTGCTGTTGCAGTCCAGTGCTGGCCTCCTGCCTAGATTCACTGTGGATGCTGCTAAGGACACTGCCGTCATACCGTTCAGCAGTGGCACGACCGGCTTGCCCAAGGGAGTCATGCTCTCGCATCGCAATCTCATAGCCAACGTGCTGCAGATGGCCAACGAGCCAGAGCTGTTGTACTATCGGCAGTCCGACGACGAGTGTGTTCTGTGCGTCATGCCGTTCTACCACATTTACGGAATGGTCGTCCTGCTGGCCAGTGGTATCTACCAGGTGGGTGTTCAATGCAGCTGGTCGTTAGTGTAGTGTATAGTGTTTGTCACAACACTATCCCCCCCTCTCTCTCTCTTTCTCTCTCTCTCTCTCTCTCTCTCTCTCTCTCTCTCTCTCTCTCTCTCTCTCTCTCTCTCCGTATTGTCCATCTACCTAGTCTCACTTTTTTGTTTGTATTCTAAAGCGTACATGCTGTAGTGTCGTATTGTCTCTCTCCGTATTGTCTCTCTCTCTGTTGTCTTTCTTCGTAGTGTCTCTCTCTGTATTGTCACTCTATCTCTTATCTGTATTACTCAATCTCTCATCTGTATTATATATATATATGCGCATGCTCAATGTAAATAAATCAGTCCTTGCCTTGTGCCGCAATGGACCCCTGCGCGGCTTGCCGACCGAACGCAACATGGTGGCAGCTGTGATTTTTACGCCTGTAGGATTATGATCAGTTAGAAATCATTGAATTTTGGAGAGAACATGATTGGAAGCCTGTACCAGTCTTGGTGATCATTGATCATCACAGCACGTGAAGAAATGATCATGTTGGTCACGGCTAGTCCTGTATTGTAGTAGTACAGTGACCCTTAAATGTATACATTTGACTGTAAATTTAATACATGTAGTAATACTCTGGATATCATAATTTTAAATACTATGAGAAAAATGGGTACTTTTAGATGCTATATCAGTTCAGTCATTAGACCTTAGACCTTAGATGTACAGTACAGACATTTATGGTCCTTGGAGGTACGATTTACTACTGGAAGTAGTACTGAAGTTTCGCTGTAACAGCATGTTTGACTGGCTTCCATAACGGCCTGTCATGCATTCTGAAGCTTATATCCTCTTGCCCTCTTACCCTCTAACCCAGGATTTACTGGGTGCTAGCGGCCGCCGTGAGTTCCCTTGGAAGCGGACAAAATAGTTCACCTTAAAAACTGTTATGCCCTCTTATCATGCAAGCCATGATGTTTTGTTTGTTCCTAATGAACTTCCTACCTGCTCTGCACTGTTCCTGCAGCGATGTCGCCTAGTGACCGTACCAAAGTTCGATCCGAACACACTGCCGGGCATCATTAGCCGCGAGAAGGTGACACAGCTGTTCGTCGCGCCGCCGTTGATCCTGTTCTTGCTGAACGATCCGCGTGGCCAAGCCACCGACCTGTCCAGCGTTCACTACTCGTTCAGTGCAGCCGCTCCGCTGAGTAGCGGCGTGCAGGAAGAGCTGAGTAAACGCCTGCAGGGGAGACCAGTAGTGCAGGTGAGTGTGGGGTGATTGTTTAGGGGAAGGTTTATATGTGAAGTCTTAGGGGCGAAACAATCATACCGATTACTCGTCACATACCTTATTTCCCCGAATATAAGTCGCACCTTTGTACACTAAATTCCAAGGGTAAAAATGGGGTGTGACTTACAATCGAGCATGACTTACTCCTGAAGTCAATAATATCTAATCAATATGGCTAAAACCAGAAAATGGGGGTGCGACTTATAATTGCGTGCGACTTATATTCGGGGAAATATGGTACTCATCATAGTCGTGCTTGGTATTCGTTAGCAGTTGTGAGATGTGTATGTTTCTGTCTTTGTTTGTGTGTTTAAAAAGGGCTATGGTCTAACAGAGCTCAGTCCTGTCTGTCATATATCACCTCGAAGTAGCTACAAGCTGGGCTCAGTTGGTGTTCCGACACCGAGCACTGAGGTGAAAGTACAGAGCCTCGACGGGGAGTCACGCTCATTGCCTGCCTTTCAGGACGGCGAGGTCTGTGTCCGTGGGCCACAGGTAAGTGCTGCAGAGTTCAGAGATATTTGTTGATCTGGCTTGACATTCCCTGGTGCAATGGAGGAGGAAGTTTACTGGGGGTAGATGTGTGTGGGTGTATGTGCATGCGTGCGTGTGTTTGCATATATGGCTATGTCTGTGTGTGTCTATGTGCGGATGGGTAGGTGAGAGGGTAACATGTGATGCTGGGATTTTGATTCCGACCTTGATAGTGACTCGGCTCTGTTGTTGATCCCGTTTGCACGGTGCAGATCTTCCAAGGGTATTTGAACCGCCCAGAAGCCACGGCTGAGATGCTGGACTCGGAAGGCTGGCTGCATACGGGCGATATCGGACACTACGACGAAGATGGCCACTTCTTCATTGTCGACCGTCTCAAGGAGCTCATCAAGGTGAAAGGTGAGAGAGAGTCCTGTAAACCTGGAATCGTTTGCGCCAGTTTTAGTTCGCGAATTGCGATGACGGACCATTTGGCGCTGGCAAGTGTTTGCAATTGGAGTCAATTTGATGATTGACTCGAGTCTACAGTTTCGCGTATCGCGCCCACTCACTTTCGCATTTCATGCCCATCGCGAAAAATGCAAGCGTTTCAGGATCGCAACGGCTTCTGGGTTTACAGTAGCTGCTGGTCTGTGTTTGGACAGGTTTGCCTTGTAGAGCACGTACAGGACTGGAGAACAGGTTGTTGGATGCAACAGGGAGTCTAGGTCCAGTATGAAGTAGGTCCTACAGATGTGCCACGTGCAGGTTTCCTAGACCGGCCATTACGCACACAAACTCGCTGCCTGTCGGCCATTACGCACACAGCCTCGCTGCCTGTTTTAGTTTGTTGTATTTGGTGCAGCTCTGGCTCTGGCTGTGCGAAAGAGCGTAGTCAGAGCAGAGAGCAAGCACAAGGTCGGGAAGAGGGTAACATGTCCAGGTTGGGGGAAGAGAGCAAATGTCCAGATTGGGGGAAGAGGGCAATTGTCCAGGTTGGGGAAGAGGGCAAATGTCCAGATTGGGGAAGAGGGCAAGAGTCCAGGCTGGGGGAAGAGGGCAATTGTCCAGGTTGGGAGAAGAGGGCAAATGTCCAGGTTGTGGGAAGAGGGCAAATGTCCAGGTTGGGGGAAGAGGGCAATTGTCCAGGTTGGGGGAAGAGGGCAAATGTCCAGGTTGGGGGAAGAGGGCACATGTCCAGGTTGGGGGAAGAGGACAAATGTCAAGGTTGGGGGAAGAGGGCAGGTGACCGGATTAGGGAAGAGGGCAATTGTCCAGGTTGGGGGAAGAGGGCAAATGTCCAGGTTGAGAGAAGAGGACAAATGTCCAGGTTGGGGGAAGAGGGCATGTGTCCAGGTTGGGGAAGAGGGCGAATGTCCAGGTGGGAGAAGAGTGCAAATGTCCAGGTTGGGGGAAGAGGGCAAATGTCCAGGTTGGGGGAAGAGAGCAAGTGTCCAGGTTGGGGGAAGAGGGCAAATGTCCAGGTTGGGGAAGAGGGCAAATGTCCAGGTTGGGAGGAAGAGGGCAAATGCCCAGGTCGCGGGAAGAGGCCAAGTGTTCAAGTTGAGGGAAGAGGGCATGTGTCCAGGTTGTGGGGAAGAGGGCACATGTCCAAGTTGTGGAAAGAGGGAAAATGTCCAGGTTGGGGGGAAGAGGGCAAATGTCCAGATTGGGGAAGAGGGCAAGAGTCCAGGCTGGGGGAAGAGGGCAATTGTCCAGGTTGGGGGAAGAGGGCAAATGTCCAGGTTGTGGGAAGAGGGCAAATGTCCAGGTTGGGGGAAGAGGGCAATTGTCCAGGTTGGGGAAGAGGGCAAGTGTCCAGGTTGGGGGAAGAGGGCACATGTCCAGGTTGGTGGAAGAGGGCAAATGTCCAGGTTGGGGAAGAGGGCAGGTGACCGGATTAGGGAAGAGGGCAATTGTCCAGGTTGGGGGAAGAGGGCAAATGTCCAGGTTGGGGGAAGAGGGCAATTGTCCAGGTTGGGGGAAGAGGGCAATTGTCCAGGTTGGGGAAGAGGGCAAGTGTCCAGGTCGGGGGAAGAGGGCAAGTGTCCCGGTTGGGGGAAGAGGGCTAGTGCCCAGGTTGGGGGAAGAGGGCAGGTGTCCAGGTTCAGGGGCGTCACACACGGTACGACCACTACGACCATGGTCGTACCACTTTTCGTCCAGGATGGTCCACCCAATTCATCCGAAAAAGCAATAAAAAAATTCAAGGACTCTTCGGACTTGTACAAAACATCGCAACTGTTACTTTCATTGCAAGGAGCATACAGACTTGATGCCTAGCACTAGCAGCTAGCTATTGCCCAAGACTCCAGGCGGCTATCCAATACGATAGGCGGTTGGAGTCACGGGTAGAGACAACCAGACGATGGATTCCTCACGGACGCATTCACTGCAAACTTGACGGAAACAGAGCTGAGCTGGCGGCGATCACTGGGTCCAGAACTAAAATTTTCCAAGATCTACCATGTTACAATGGTGATCAGCACGTCAAGAGACACTACATGTATGTCACTTGTCAGCTACAACAATCATAATTATATTCTTTCCACAACGACACCTACCTAGTACCTCTGGCTCCTGACGATCTACTGCAAGCGGATTCGAAAATGCATTACACCCGCGAACGCAGCGCTTGTCAACAGAAAAGGGAAGCGCTTCATTCTCCGAAGCTGAAAAGTGTTTGGACTGCTGCTCCACGGCGGCAGAATATTCTGCAGCTGTTCACCGACACGACCCGCGCCCGCTTCACCTATATTATAACGATTTACGATCGTTTCGTTCCCCGAGTTTTCTGGTAGCAGCAACAAGAATTGCGTCCGCGACGAAAGTCTCTCGCAAACTAAAGTCCTGTTGCCACGATGACAGAGAAGATTCCGCAAGCGCTTTCTTCTGCTTCCAGTGTTGTAGCTCTCCGGTCCACTGGCAGATCTTTCAATCCCACAGAACGAAAAAAAGGATCTTCTTCTCTCTCTAAAAACAAATAAAATTACTTCGCGACTGTCCAGGCGCTAGGCCGCGGCCGTGTACATAGTGCACGCGACGCGGCAGATTTTTGGCAGTTTTGCTAGAACGCGCAGCACGCTTGTACTTCGGATTTTGCGATTTTTTCGAGGGCAATGGCCCTGATCAGCTGAATCATTGAATGGGTTCCTTTTGCCTTGCTACCTACGATGTACAGAAATACCAAAAAATCCATGAGAAGTTTGTTTTTGGAGCTGGAGTGGGGTTGTCTAATAAGTGCTAGGGAACCCTCCTTTGCGGCTGTAGAGTGCTAAAACGTGGCCTGTTAGCCGAAAAACCCGTATTTTTTCTCCGGGGGACACCCCCGACCCCCGGTCGTACCACTCCCAGCCACCCTGTGACGCCCCTGAGGTTGGTGGAAGAGGGCAAGTTTCCAGGTTGGGGGAAGACTTGAAGAGGGCACATGTCCAGCTTGGGGAAAGAGGGCAAATGTCCAGGTTGGGAGGAAGAGGGCAAATGCCCAGGTCGCGGGAAGAGGCCAAGTGTTCAAGTTGAGGGAAGAGGGCATGTGTCCAGGTTGGGGGAAGAGGGCACATGTCCAAGTTGTGAAAAGAGGGAAAATGTCCAGGTTGGGGGGAAGAGGGCAAATGTCCAGGTAGGGGGAAGAGGGCAAATGACCAGATTGGGGAAGAGGGCAAATGTCCAGGTTTGGTTTGGTTTTTATTATTTCAGTTCGTTGCCTCAACAGTACAAAGTACAAATATCAAGAGGGACGAACGAAAAGAGAAAATAAAACAGAGCAGTAGGGCTGAAAGGAATATTCGAATTATTCGAATATTCGAAATGTGCAGATCGGAAAAAGAATATTCTTCGTTAGAGTAGAATAAGAATGTTCGTAAATGTACAGAAACTCGCCTTTTTGATATCGAACAGGTTTATTTGGTGCAGACAGTGGATGAGATTGCCACCTTCCATGTGTTGTCATCAGCAAGACAAATGATAACATTGTCCTTTTCAAATGTCCCTCCTGTAATTGGGGTATACACCAGTTGATGTCTATGGTTACCATGGATACAACTAGGTATCCATGGATATTGTATTATTATTTATTATTACTTGCATGTACGCGTTGGAGTCAACCATGCAAGCATGATCCACAACTTCGCTTATGCTGGATATTGTATGGTTTAGAATATTCGGAATATTCTTCGTTTCACATGTATTCGGAAAAGAATATTCGTTCGCTTCATTGAGCATTCGTTTCAGCCCTACCTGAGAGCAGAGAGGAAGATGCAACTGAAAGGAAAGAAAAACGGAGGGAAACGGAGAAGGAATGTGGACTGGGCGGATTCATGAGGGGGAAGAGGGCAAATATTCCGTTGGGGGAAGATGGCAAGTGTCCAGGTTGGGCGAAGAGGGCAAATGTCCAGGTTGGGGAAGAGGGCAAGTGTCCAGGTTGGGGAAAGAAGGCATGTGTCCAGGTTGGGGGAAGTGGGCATGTGTTCAGGTTGGGGGAAGAGGGCAAATGACCAGATTGGGGAAGAGGGCAAGTGCCCAGGTCGGGGGAAGAGGGGAAATGTCCAGGTTGGGGAAGAGGGCAAGTGTTCAGGTTGGGGGAAGAGGGCAAGTGCCCAGGTTGGGGGACGAGGGCAAATGTCCAGGTTGGGGGAAGAGGGCAATTGTCCAGGTTGGGGGAAGAGGGCAAGTGTCCAGGTTGGGGGAAGAGGCCAAGTGTTCAGGTTGAGGGAAGAGGGCATGTGTCCAGGTTGGGGGAAGAGGGTAAATGTCCAGGTTGGGGAAGAGTCCAGGTTGGGGGAAGAGGGCAAGTGTCCAGGTTGGGAGAAGAAAGCATGTGTCACTGTCGGGGGAAGAAGGCATGTGTCCCAGTTGGGGGAAGAGGGCAAATGTCCAGGTTGGGGGAAGAAGGCATGTGTCCAGGTTGAGGGAAGAGGGCATGTGTTCAGGTTGGCGAAGCGGGCAAACGTCCAGGTTGGGGAAGAGGGCAAATGTCTAGGTTGGGGAAGAGGGCAAGTGTCCAGGTTGGGGAAGAGGGCAAGTGTCCAGGTTGGGGGGAGAGGGAAAATGTCCAGGTTGGGGGAAAAGGTCAAATGTCCAGGTTGGGGGAAGAGGGCAAGTGTCCAGGTTGGTGGAAGAGGGCAAGTGTCCAGGTTGGGACTGTACACAGAGTGTAATCAGAGCAGAGGGCAAGTGCCTAGGCCATGGTACATTGGTCTATAAAATCATCTGCTGGGGGATATTGTCCCACAGAAGCAGAACGGTGGTTCTTGATTTGCCCGGGTACACGGATCCATGGGTTGTTTTTAAATTGTTTTATTCATCTGCATATTAGCCTGAAGTCTTCACTGGTTATGGGTATATTTTGCACCAGAGAACAAGAGTGATCAACGGTGTAAGATAGTGTCTTCTTGGAACCGTTTTCTCTGTTCCGCTACCAGGATTCCAGGTTGCCCCGGCTGAGCTGGAAGCCGAACTTCTCCACCATCCTGATGTCACGGACGCTGCCGTTATTGGTGTACCGCACGAGAGGCTTGGCGAGGCACCTCGTGCGTACGTGGTCCGACGACCCGGCTCGGATCTGACGGAGAGTGAACTGTCGGATTTCATATCGTCTCGGGTATGTCCGTCTAGTAGAGATAAATGATGCGGAGTGCACAGTCACCAGTAGACGTTATACCAACAGCCTTTGTATATGCGCGTGTTATTGTTTTTGGCTTGCATATCAAGGCTAAAGTTGGACATGCTTGAGAAACGTCCAAAAGCTTCATATGGGTTTTGACGCAAAGTGAACAGAACCTGTGTGTGTGTGTGTGTGTGTGTGTGTGTGTGTGTGTGTGTGCGTGTGTGTGCGCGTGTGCGTTCGAGTGTGTGTGTGTGTGTGTGTGTGTGTGTGTGTGTGTGTGTGTGTGTGTGTGTGTGTGTGTGTGTGTGTGTGTGTGTGTGTGTGTGTGTGTGTGTGTGTGTGTGTGTGTGTGTGTGTGTGTGTGTGCATTCACAACCAACAGCCTTGGCAACCTGCCACAATATTTGCAGACCATGCTGATTTACACGATAGTACAATCATATTCTATGTTCTGGCCTGCTGTCTTGATTTCTTCCATCGATCCAGCTGGCAGCCTACAAGAAACTAGTGGGTGGCGTCGAGTTTGTGGACGAACTACCGAAGTCTCCATCGGGAAAGATCCTGCGGCGTATACTCCGTGAGAAGTGAAAGCACCTTGTGCACAATCGGCGATCACCTCGACTCATATAGCGCAGAGCTGTGCTTCTTATCTGCAACACCATGAGAAGATGGAGGCAGGGCAGGTGCGTAGAGCAGCCTCGTGTCACTGACAGCTCTATTTCGCGGACGCAGCCGAAAGTGGCTGCATAAGTACTCCGTGCTTGGATGCAGCAATTCTATTTTTGTAGTGAAAAAGACTGGGAGCAACAAAAAGGTGACATTGGCTGTATCGCTTTCATGCACACGCTTCTACTAGGATTTCTATTTAATAAGATTTTCGGCAGCTGTCTGAACAACCCTTGACTATTTGTGTGTGTGTGTGTGTGTGTGTGTGTGTGTGTGTGTGTGTGTATGTGTGTGTGTGTATGTGTGTGTGTGTGTGTGTGTGTGTTTGTGTGTGTGTGTACATGTGTAGTGTTCGAGTATGTCAAAGCAACAATAACGACGATAGGGCGTATTGCTCAGAATATCTACCTTTCAAATTTAGTGGCTCACACCGGATAACTAGGCCAAATTTTCTCTTTCGATTGTTCTTTTTCGTAGAACGACGTTCATGATTTGAAAATTTTGAATTTGTAATAATAATTATTATTATACTTGCTGTGTACTTCACTGACTAGGTACAGTCAACTTCGCTAATAACGACTGCGGATATAACGACAATTCGCGAATAACGACATAATTTTCATGCCCGGAGCAAAGTCCCATCCAACTGTGACACATGTAATGAGACTTCGGATATAACGACACTTCGCGAATAACGACACTTTTCTGATGCCCCGCCGAGTGTCGTTATAAGCGAAGTTGACTGTACTTCTGTTCAGCTGACATAGGTACTTCTGTTCAGCTGACATAGGCAGGCGGTACCCGCGGTGTACAAACCATATACAGTACACCACAGCTAATTATATCCCACCCTACTTTATAGTATACCGTTCTTCCTTGTATGACATTTGCACTTTGTTTGAGTGTATTGCGTTACAGTCAGACCTCGCTTATCCGGTCCTCTTTTATCCGGATCCCTCGCCATCCGGAAGAAACTCGTTGGTTAACGATTTACAGCATATTCCATGCATACATACAGTATGTGTGTTCGATTATCCGGTTCCCTCGCCTATCTGGATATTTTGTGGAAAACGGATGTGTGCGCGGGGTTAAGCGAGGTCTGACTGTACATGCGCCTGTGTATCAATGGTACTGGTCAGTACAGAATGTACCGTAATTACTGACCTGGGCGTAGCACAGACGGCAATCCACCCGGCTGTTCTCGAGGACCACTGCACGTACATCCACAACCAGGCCGGGATGTTATTTCCAGTCAAATGACCCTGGATAAGAAGACCACCTGAGTAGAAAGTATTGTGGGCGTTCTAATTACGTCATCGATGACGTCATTGAATTAGAACGCCCATAATACTTTCTACTCACCTGTACACGGGGACCGCATCTGTAAGGTATCTTATGCAATTATGGGCGTTCTAGTATTCCGTCATCGATGACGTCATTGAATTAGAACGCCCATAATACTTTCTACTCACCTGTACACGGACAGGGACCACATCCATCTGTAAGGTATCTTATGCAATTGGCCAAGGCATGTTTCACTGGAACAGCACACTATTCGTGCCCAAACTTTGATCAAGATGGTATAATATTATGTTATGTAGAACTGAATCATTGAGATTTCGAAAGAATTTTATCATTTTGATTGACCAAATGCATTTAAAACAATGCGATGACATCTAAACACACAGATGTGTTATCTTGTCCTGTGGTGCAGTATATCCACTCCATACTAGATCAATCTCCACAGCAGATGAAGCTTTTTCCCCTTTATCTCAAGGACAACCATGTGCCGAACACGAGCACGACAGGCAAGAAGCAAACTCGGAGGCACAATAGCAGGTGATTGTTGGCACACACAGTATCAGGGCTGCAGCAATTACACACCCTCTACTGTGCATGCCTCTTGTCGGTCCAACATGCTTGCATGGCTTTCCTTGACCGTGACATCAGGGGCATTGTCTTCACTTGCAGGCGTGCCATAGCCAGGCCGGCTCACAATGCCGGTCATAACTCATCACGGGTCTCCGGCGTATCATCCGGCGGCGTTGTGCCCACCTGTTCCTCGACACTGCTAGCAGTACTGTCTGCAGGTTCCGTCTCGATCCAGGCATCGAGTAGCAGACCGACACGCTCCCAGCTGACCAGCTGCCACCAGGTGGCGATGTAGTCGACGCGCTTGTTCTGGTACTGCAGGTAGTACGCATGCTCCCACAGGTCGATTCCCAGCACCGGCCGAAACCCGCCGCTCAGCGGACTGTCCTGGTTGGCATTCTCCGTGATGGTCAGCCGCCGAACACCCGCCACATTCTCTAAGCACAGCCACACGTACCCGGATCCAAACAGCTTGGCTGCCGCTCCGGAAAACTGCTCTTTCATGGCATCGGTCGAACCAAAAGACTCCGTGATCAAATCCAGAATCTGCAGGCAATGGCGTGCAGGAAAAGGAACAGTTGCACAAGCAAGGTCACAGAATAAATCTGTGTCGTTCATATCCGATATGAACAATACAAAACAGGACACGGCCACAGGCGCAACATATTTACTTGAAGTACATGTGTGTATGGTGCAGTGCAGTGCAACGATACTGCATGCGCGAGTGGTATCCGAGCCCGCTCCTGAGCTGCACCGGCATAAATAGTGAGGAGAGAGCTGGCAACTTTAACACCACTCCAGGCCACTATCGTACTCCGGCGTACCAGTCAATTTTGAACAAATTTAGGCCAAAACTCATGTTAATACATTTAGCTACGGTATACCTGTCCTAGGTTTGAGAGCCTGGCCAAACTTCTAACTCCTACAAGTAGTCCAATTGCTTTTCTAACCGCCACTGTGGCAAGGAAGTGCGGGTAATACAATGCGGGTGTACAGATCGAGCAGAACTGTACATTACTGCACGTACAGTTCTGCTCGATGAAGTCCGATAGCGCGAGTCCTGTGAGTTTGCGCCCTGTGTCACTGCCCACATCACATCCCAATGTTTGCAGGTCTAGGGCTGCAGGGCGCCCGGGCCGCCGGCGTGACATTGACTCGCGTGATCAGATTTCATCCAGAGCAGCCCCGTGACTGCACCAATATACATGTACTCTATATTCAAGACACCAGAACGTCAGGGTGGCAGTTTCGGATCGGAATGCGTCGTTGGGTATCACAATGCATCTAACCTTTCCGCTTGGGCCTTGATCCGCTACCTCCACAGACTGATCCAATGGTCCCATCACGAAGAACGTGAAGGCGTGATTGACGAAGCCACCCGCCTGGTTGCGAAACGCATCACGCACATCTTCCGGCAGCGCATCCAGGTTCATGAGCTGCTGCAACGGGTTACTCGCCACAACAGCATCGGCACTCGGCATCCGACTGAGGATGGAGTTCATCCTGCAACATGAACAGTCGACGGAAGACACGACTGTGCGGGTGCACGTGTGCACACAGCGCAATGTGCCATGCGCCAGTGAGGTAACGTGTATGCGCTCGTATGTGTGTACGCCCGTATGTGTGCTCTCAGAGCGGGATGTGCGCACGCACACACACACACGCGTGCGCGCGCGCGCACACACACACACACACTCACTGCGTGTGCGTGGGACTGCACCTCCATATTCATGTATTGGGTGCATGCGTGCACTTACTTTTTCGTGTAGGCCGCGTGGTGTCCGGTGTGGTGTACCCGCACAGTGCGCTCGCTCATGTACGGTTCCAGCGCCTCGTAGCTGTACATGAGGCGTGGCAGCTCATAGGAACCGTTCTCTAGCCGTATGTCAAGCAGCTCGAGCAAACGAACACTGACTGCTGGCAGCCACGCCGGTGGATTACTCGCTGCCTCGATCTCTCCTGAACTGGCATCAGCGTGGTCGTCGATGTCCTCTGCAGCTAGTACGAACAATCGGACTGGCGATAAGGCGAACACGCACACCAGCAGTTGCAGGCACGCTGCAACACTGCAGATGTGATTCATTCTCCCGTTGTATGCAGGGAACTCCGCCAGAGCTAGGAAAGCCCAGGTTTGTAAACGCGTTCAAAGCCAGCGAGGAGAAATGAGGAACTATTACTTCGAGGCTTTCAGCTAAAGTAACCTGTAACTTCCTGTCATGTCATCAATCTAGTCAATGATAAAACTTCTCAGTTTCTTTCGTGCTCTTTCGCCAGTTTCGGAAACTAATAATTTCTGGAAAAGAATATCAGCTGCTGTACTCGTACGTACCAAGACTGCAGAGTACATACACCTACTAAGTACAGTGTCTATACTTGATATATGCACTAGCTAGGCTAGCGCTAGTGCAAACAAAAAAACCGTACTGTGAGTATGTCATGTCACGCGTTAGCGATCCATGGGAACAGTGACGTCAGTGAAGAAATCCATTTTGACTCATTTTGCAGCGAACCCCTACTCGTACTGTACTACGGCCTTTTTTTGTAGGCCCTGCAGTCCGATCCTGCACCCTGCAGTAGTTGTACAGATATTGTATGACTGTCCTGACATGTGTACATCTGCTGAACAAAGAATAAAAACTCCATGATCGACAAGAAGTCATCATCATAATTTTCACTTCATTCTTAACTTGTTCTTCTCGTCTCGATAGTACGATGTTGGATCTGTTTACGATCTTCACCAAGGGTGGAATGGTCCTCTGGTTCTTCCGGGGGACCAATAGCATGCTTACCCAGCCCGTGAATTCTTTGATTGAGAACTCAATCATAATGCAGCGTACGAGGACTGCTGACGATTCCCTAGCTTTCAAATTCAAGGTGGATTCAGAGCTCGGAGTAGTGTTCTTATTAGCACACCAGAAAATATTACTGCTGAACTACGCTGACAAGCTACTGGACGACGTGCAGGTGGCTTTCAAACAGCGGTTCGCCTCTGCGTTTAGTGAAGGAGACGAAGCTGAACAGAATGATTACAGCTCGTTTGACAGTGATTTCCAGATGGTGCTGCAAGCAGCCGAGCAGGAACAGCATCAGAAGAAGCCCACCATGAAGACATTTAGTCAGAGTGGAAAGTTCTCTAAAACCTCTGCTGGTGCTGGTGCTGCACCATCCGCACAAGCGGCACCAGCACCAGCCACTGCCACAGTCAAGACCCCTGAGCCTGCACCTGCAGTGAAAGTGCCAGCAGCTTCACCCAAATCACCCCCTGGTCCACCAAGGCCACGTGGTGCACGAAAACCCAAGGCTCCTCCTGTAGCTTCGACTCCACCAACGAATGGCAAGAAAGTGAAGGGAAAGGAGAAACGGTCATGGCAAGACTCGAAACTGTCAACTGGTGCTCGGCAGGCGTTGGATTACTCTGCTGATCCCAAGACCGACAACTCTGACATGGCAGCAGCTATTCCGATTAACGACTTTATGCAGGATGGTCCAAGCATGGTAGGTCCTTTGACTGCACTGGACAATGAAGAATATGACGACGGTGAAGAGGAGGAAGCGTGCGATGACGATGCTCACAGCTCAGACGACGCTGCGGCCCCTGCTGCGTCCAGCACAAGCAAGGCTTCCAGCAGTGCCTCCGGTGGCGGTGGTGTTCTGGGTTTCTTCAAGGGATTGGTGAGCAGCAAGGTGATCACCAAGGAGTCGCTTGCTCCCGTTCTCGACAAGATGAAGGAACACCTTGTGAGCAAGAACGTGGCCCAGGAGATTTCCCAGTCCTTGTGTGATTCTGTTGCGGAGAAGCTGGAAGGACGAGCGATGGGCACATTTGGTAGCGTCTCGTCCACCGTTCGCTCTACCCTGGAGGATTCCCTTGTGCAGATCCTGACTGCTGGCGGAAGCCATGATACACTTCGGGAGGTGATGGCAGCAAAGAAGCGTAGCCGTCCCTACGTCATCACGTTCTGCGGCGTCAACGGCGTCGGAAAGAGCACGAATCTCGCCAAGATCGCGTTCTGGCTGCTGCAGAACGGCCACCGCGTCCTGGTTGCCGCGTGCGACACGTTCCGCGCGGGCGCGCTGGAGCAGCTGCGCGTTCATGTGCAGCGCTTGCACGCCCAGCATCCGGCAAGCGACGGCGCCGCCGCCATGATCCAGCTGTATGAGCGCGGCTACGGGCGAGACCCGGCCGGCATTGCCAGCGACGCCATCGGCTACGCCAAGGACGAGGGTTTTGATGTGGTACTGGTGGACACTGCCGGCCGTATGCAGGACGACGAGCCACTGATGAGGGCCCTGGCCAAGCTGATCAAGTGCAACACGCCGGATCTCGTGCTGTTCGTCGGAGAAGCGCTGGTCGGCAACGAGGCCGTAGATCAGCTCAGTAAATTCAACACGGCTCTGGTGGATCACGGCGATGGTCGACTGCAGGTGATCGACGGCGTCCTGCTGACCAAATTCGACACCGTCGACGACAAGATGGGTGCCGCAGTGTCCATGGCCTACACCAGCCGCAAACCCATCATGTTCGTCGGTACCGGGCAGACGTACCGCGATCTGAAGAGCCTCAACGCGTCCTCCGTCGTCAAGGCACTGCTGCGGTAACTCCGGCCGCACGCTACCGTGCTCACTGCCCGCTACTACCGTGTTCACTGCCCGCTCCAGGGTAACGAGTCTGCTAACGACAATGTCCTTCCAATCATACATTTCACTTTGACTTGCCGTGTGTCTTGCCAATTGCCATGCTGGCATCATGAAACCCCTCATGCAGAACAAATTTTTAATTTCTAGATCGAAAAAACCTTATTTTAGAATCTAATCTGCCGCCCCACAGTGCAGAGCCCTCATGTAATTTATTGAGATCTTGCCTTTTAGTAGCCTTGAGTGTGTCCACCGCTGTTTGTTGTGTGCTGTGTGGGAGTTCTTCACTGGCTCGTTACTGACCTGGCTGCCTTGGCACGTCGGCCATTGTAGGCACGTCGGCCATTGTACTGAAAGTCGGTGTATTTTGGCCAGGGAATGCTGATGCGGCGGTGTCAGCTGACGGTATGCCTGGACGACTGTGCCGTTGCCGGTTTAGCCGTTGGAGCAAAATGACGAACTTGTAGGGGCACCACTCGGATACTGTCGCAAGCCGAGCCGCCAAAGTTTGACCAGATGGACGAGTAGCCAGTGTCAAAATTTAATATAAATCCATAATTTACAAAATAATAGCCCGTTAAGGGCCTTACTCTTGACTTGCTCAGATCATGTAGTTGTACACCACCCAGTACCCCGAACCCATTCTCTTAGTTGTGGAATCGGTACATAATTTAAAAATGCAATGCGACCGCTAGCAGTAGCACTGACTGTGCTTCTCTGGCATTTTTCTTCATGTTCACCATGGCAACAAAGGCAACAGCTGCTAGTAGTAGTACCGGTACCATACACTTTTTGTAATGTTAGCATACTAATGACAATGTAGTAATGATCCTGTTCCAGTGTTTGTTTGAAAATCCGAGTGTACGGTCGATCACGTCCACGCGAGTAGAAGAAAATAACCATGTCGATCTCGTTCAACTCTCGTCGCTCGGCATGTCTCAGTCGACGCGACTGCGTTGCTTCCAGCCAGCAGTTGGGCACCAAGGTCGGCCTGCAGATCCTGAAGGACGGGGGCAATGCGGCCGATGCCGCTGTGGCTGTAGCAGCCGCTCTGAACGTCACTGAACCCTGCAGCACAGGAATAGGCGGCGACTGCTTCTGTCTGTACTACGATGCGGCGAAGAAGCAGGTGTTCGGCCTGAATGGGAGGTGAGGAACACTGCCGTAGAACTTAGAAGGGACGGGTTCCCTGGTGTATGCATCAGGATACTAGTACGCTGTAACTAGTCATGTGGGCTCCAGCGCTAGCTACAATAGTGGCTATAGCGCAGTGGGAATATATCTCGAGCCAAGTAAAAATATTTTCTTGAAGGGGATTCCCCAAAGGAGTCCTTAAAGGGGAAGTTAAGGCTAAAATCAAAATTTCACCAGGTGTAGTCTTCGGGGTGCTGAGTCTAATGGTCTTGGTCCGAGGAAGCTGAGACGCTCCCTTCCTACTTCAATCCCAATCGAACTCGCGCACTTCCACCGAAACTGGGTGACTGCGCCCTACTAGATGGGGAGTTGTATGCAAAATGTCACTAAAAGCGCCATTTCGTTCTTATAAAAGCACGGATGACCGCGATTGGCCCATATGTTGTAGTCTTTTGGACGCTGAGTTGACTGGTTTCGGTCCGAAAAGGCTGCGATGCAGCGTTCGGCCCTTATTCCCAATCGAACATGGTTGAACAAGCGGTCACGTGCTCCTGCGTACACCAGTCACCGTGCCTGCAGGGCACAACTTACAGCCTGTTTGACCTTTTTTGGGTGCAGTCCTGTCACTCGAGTTGAACCTTGGTGTGAAAGTTGTCGCCTGCTGGCGCTGTGACCAGGTGACTTGGGCACGCAGGAGCACGTGACCGCTTGTTCAACCATGTTCGATTGGGAATAAAGGAGGAACGCTGCATCACAGCTTTCTCGGACCAAAACCAGTCGACTCAGCGTTCAAAAGACTACAACAGATGGGCTAATCGCGGTGACGGGTCATCCGTGCTTTTATAAGAATGAAATGGCGCTTTTAGTGACATTTTGCATACAAATCCCCATCTAGTAGGGCGCAGTCACCCAGTTTCAGTGGAAGTGCGCGAGTTCGATTGGGATTAAAGTAGGAAGGGAGCGTCTCAGCTTCCTCGGACCACAACCATTCGACTCAGCACCCCGAAGACTACAACTGGTGAAATTTAGATTTTAGCCTTAATTTAACTTCCCCTTTAATTCGATGATGTGGAGGTTTTGACTTTTGTGAATCATTCAAGGATAACTACGGCATATGCGGAAACTTTGCGCTAAATGACTGTTCATGATGAATGGTACGCAGTGGAAAAGCAGTACTCGTGTTGCCACTCAGCAGAGGTTATAATTATGATCATTGATCACAGTACTTTAATTGAGATGCATTGGCAAAGCCGTGGTGCAACGAAGTACTAGCTCAAGCGAAGCCGCCGAATCGTGCCGTATGCTAAGCTCTCATAAGCAAATTCGCTAGTTCGCCGCCATGACATCATGTCACATATGTAAAACAAACCAAACCAAAACGTGACCTAGCTCTGCATAATCACCTCGAATGATGACGTAAACATTCAACGTCTATAATAGAACGTGCCGACATGATCAGTGCAGATCCCAGTAACTTAGCCATACAGTCAACTTCGCTTATAACGACACTCGGCGGGGCATCAGAAAAGTGTCGTTATTCACAAAGTGTCATTATACCCGAAGTCTCATTATATGTATTACTGTTGGATGGGGCTTTGCTCTGGGCATGGAAATTCTGTCGTTATTCGCGAATTGTCGTTATATCCGCAGTCGTCATTAGCGAAGTTGACTGTACTCCGTAAGTGACCTTGATAATGAACTGGATCGGTACCGTGCGTGCTGGCCGATGTAGTACACAATCAGCTTGGGGTACCACGGGCGTAGGAACCGGTCCGGCAGGCCCGGCGGTCGCCGGACCAATAATTTTCGAATTTTTTTCTTCTTTTTTTTCTTTTTTTACATTTCAACCTTGTTGATGGCTTGTCGACTCTTGTACAGGTACCATGTTTTACATCGACAATGCGGTGTATCATCAGCATGCATATTCTTATTTCTCATATTATTATTCTGTAGCATTAAAATATGGCCTTTTAGGCCCAATTTTCAAAAAAAATCCCGCGGGAGGACCCCCGGACCCCCTCTCACAATTTCGCCGCACCAATATTAAACTGCTTCCTACGCCCCTGGGTACAAGTGATTTTTTGTGCCGTTCGATGGACTGATGCAAACACACAGTGCGCCAGGTACTGTAACGAAACCTGATCCATACGAGTAGTCGGAGTACTTCATTGGCTGGTGCTGCAGTATAACATATTGTGTGTGATGACACAATGCAGGAAGGTGCTAGCAAAGAATTGACTTGCACGTGTGTGTGTGTGTCTGTGTGTGTGTGTGTGTCTGTGTGTGTGTGTCTGTGTGTCTGTGTTTGTGTGAGCCTGGTGTATATGTGTCTGTGTGTGTGTGTCTGTGTGTGCGTGTGTGTGTGTCTGTGTGCGTGTGCGTGTGTGCATTTGTGATGTGTTTGTGTGGCTCCGTTTCGTGCGCCGCTCCAGTGGCCGCTCGGCTGAGAGCCTTAGCTTGGAGCGGCTGGAAAGCGAGGGCTATACGGCCAGCAATCCACTTCCGGCACGGCATGCGTACAACGCCACTGTTCCCGGTGCTGCTGCCGGCTGGGTTGACACTATTGAGAAGTTTGGTAGCGGCAAGGTAACCAAGGAAGCGTATACCCCCATGCCTCCCCTCCCAAGTGGATTTTTGTGTTCGGAGATAGAGAGCACGCTCTCCCATTTTCTGGGTATACATGCCTGGCCCCGTATGTTTATGTGATGTGTGTGTGTGGAGGGGGGGGGGGGGGGGGCATTCCCGGGATCTCGTCCCAATTTAGCTTAAAGGGATGTGCACGTCGTGTCTATTGGCTAAGTTTCTGCAAATCTGAGTAGCACAACTGAAGTCTGATCTGCAGGGTCCATTCGTACTTTTTTATTATTATTTTTTTTTTCAAGAACCACTTAAAAATGCCAAACATGAGTACATGTATCATTTCTGTCCTTGCAGCTCACCATGACGGACGTACTGCAGCCTGCTGTTGATCTGGCCGACGACGGTGTGCCCGTGGCTGCCATATGCGCCTTCCACTGGCAGCGCGGTGCCGATGTGCTGACGCAGGACCTGAAGGAGAATAACGGCGGCGACCTGCTGGTGGACGGGAAGGCGCCGCAAGAAGGTGACGTAGTCAAGATGCCATTCCTAGCCGACACGTTCAGAGTAAGCCGCACACGGTTTGGATTCACCGGTACAGGTGGAATCCTGATAATTCGAATATGGCTTTATTCGAACATACCGCTTAATTTGAAGTTTTTCCAGGACCGACTTCTATCAATACGATTCCCACCTAAACATTTCTGATAATTCGAACCTCGAACTGGATATGTCCGGTTAATTAGAAGTCCCACAGATTCCATTTACATAGAAAACATGTGGGATTTGTGCTGATAATTCGAAGTTAGCAAAGTGTAATTCGAAGTTCACTGTACACTGTGCTGGTCAGTTCAGTTTGCATGAGCAGGCTGTGCCGGTCAGTTCAGTATCCGTGAAATCTGTGTCTAAGGTCCATAGCGCAACTCTGCGTGACCATGAGAGCATTTTGACATACATATTGTGTTGTGGGTTCATGTTTGGATAATTAGAATGTCCGGATAATTAGAAGTTTTTTCCTGGCATTTTGAGGTTCGAATTATCAGGATTCCACCTGTACCCATTCCCAGGCACTGTAGACTCGCAGGGGCGTCACACACGGTGCGACCAGTACCACTTTTCGTCCGGGATGGTCCGCCCAGAGCGCATGTAGAGCGCTAAAACGTGCCCTGCTCGCCGAAAAATTCGATTTTTGTTCCCCCGGGCGACACCCCGCACCCCTAGTCATAGCACTCCCCACTGCCCTGTGAAACCCCGGGTAGATAATGCCGAATCATCACTCTCGGAGTAGTTTGTGCTGGCACACGGTATCATACTTCAACATGCAACCCAAAACAGTTCCCCACAGTGTGGGGAACTGTCACACAGTTTGGGGTGCATGTTGAAGTATGATACAGTAAGGCTATTTTCAGGTCTCAAGCAGCCAGGCTCAGAAAGTAGCTGAACATGATCATGTACCGATTAATTGTTGATTTACAGTACTGTACATATAGTAGCGAGTTGCAGTCGTTGATTATTGACGTATGGAATATCCAGTTTCAAAGGGCTTTTACCAAGTTATTTGTCTGTGCTTGCTTCTCTATTACAAACAGGCCATCCAAACACAGGGCAAGGCTGGATTCTACTCTGGCCGCATTGCTCAGGCCCTGATCAATGTCGTACAGGCGAATGGTGGAGCACTGACGATGGAGGACTTGGCAAATCATAGGACAACGTTTGAGGATCCGATTCACACCTCGTATCGGGGCATCGATGTGTGGGAGATAGCACCAAATGGTCAGGGTCTTACTGCTCTGATGGCCCTGAACATTCTCGAGAATTTCCAGATGAAAGGTATAGCTATGTTTTCCACTCTATTGTCCTTCTGCCAACTGTCCGTGTACATTCTGTATTGGTCAAGCTGGTGTATCTCAAGTTTCCTGGCATAGATTCATGCATGACAAATTGACAATACATGTACAGTCAGACCTTGCATGACAATCCGGTCCTCTTTTATCCGGATCCCTCGCCATCCGAAGAAAATAGCTGGTTACAGATTTACAGCATGCATGTTCGGTTATCCGGTTCCCTCGCCTATCCAGGCTGGATATTTTTTCGGGGAAAACGGATGTTAAGCGAGGTTTGACTGTAGAACCAAGTGAAAATATAACATCAGAATTGTTATACCACCTACATGTGCATTCAAAAGGTTATTGAGCCCCACTTTTTAGTTAATGCTATGCTCCACTGATCCTTCCCCCCCCCCCCCCCCCCCCCCGTCTGCATAGAAATGGGCCACAACTCCGTTCAGTACATACACACGCTGATCGAAGCGCTGCGCCTGAGCTTCGCCGACACCTTGTGGTACGTCGCCGATCCGGCCAAGCAGAAGGTACCCGTTCAGGAGCTCCTGTCCAAGACATACGCAAGGGAGAAGTCGTTGACGATCTCGGCAGAAAAGTGAGTGCAACTGTGGTTGGCCTGACTGAATCTCGTTTTAAACAACTAAACAGAGTAATATGTATTGCCTGGCTGCTAGTGATCAGGTGGACATTGTGGAATGAGCCCATTGCGCAATGACGTAATTTGTACCGCGAACACCCCACACGGCCACCTGGGCTTGGTCGTCTGGGGTCTTGAATCGTGCATCCCTGAAGGACCCTGATCCCAGTGTACTCACATGCATTACTCGTGCATTCCATGTTTGGCAATGCGCAATGGGCTTATAGATCAAGCCCTGACTCTACTGTGTACTGTAAACCGTGAATGGTCTAATTTCTGCGAAATTCGCGACCGCGTGGAAATCGCGAAATTTAGACAGCGCGAAAAGGAGATCCATGAAAGGTTTAGCAAGAATGCCACAGTACTACATAGTAGCACATTCTGCAATCGCAAAATTAAAACCTCGCAAACCTGTCCGGATTCTGAAAACGCGAACTAAAAACGCCGCGAAAATTTCACGCTTTACAGTATGTACATTGTACTCAATCTGCGGACAACATGCATGTTCAGTTCAGTTCAGTTTGTTTATTTACGGATTCTCCAGAGGTAAATGGATACCTATCATGGGAGTCTCACCAAACCAATAAAATAATGAATATAAAATTATGCCACATGTACCGCCATTGTACGTGACATGTAGATGTATACTTGGCCAGCTGATTGCACTAGAATTGGTCTACTCGAAATCGTGATCCATGAGACTGCTTGTTGTCATGAACACGAACACCCCATTGGCTTTTCTTTACCTGTGCAGAGCACTGGCGGACTGCAAGCGTGGGTCTCCTGCTAACAGCAGTGATACCGTCGTGTTCAGCGTGGTGGACAGCGCAGGAAATGCGTGTTGCTTCATCAACAGCAACTACATGGGCTTTGGCACGGGTCTGGTGCCCAAAGACTGCGGGTTCTCCCTTCAGGTTAGTGCGATGGACAGGCTAAGTATCTCTGGGCTTCCTTACAGGGCGGGGCTTTTGTACTAACACTTTCGATTAGCAGCAACTGTGCTACAGCGGTTTATGGTAAGTGTTCGCCAGCTTAGTGGCTTACTGCGGCATCGGGCTGGGCAGTTTCCTTCCTTTGATACCTGCAGCCGATGCGCATTGTGTGTGCATGGACGAGTACTGAATCATTTTTACATTGAGTCTTATTCCAGGCCTGAGCGTCACTAGGTGACTAAAAAAAATAAAAATAGTAGTGATGGTCTCTGCTGGAATGACAGCTACGCCATAGCTCAGTGGTTAGATCATCGCTCGCCTCAAGCGAAGGTCCCTGTTTGGAGTGTTCAAGTTCTGCTGTTTGTGTGTTAACCCTGATCACGTTTTTTCTCAGAACCGCGGTGCCAATTTCTCCCTTGATCCGTCGCATCCGAATCGCCTCGAAGGCGGCAAGCGTCCCTATCACACAATCATTCCGGGCATGGCAACGCACATGGGCTCTGGCGAGCTGTACGCCTGCTTCGGAGTGATGGGCGGCTTCATGCAACCGCAAGGACACGTGCAGGTCAGTGAGATGCTGGGGAAGCTGAGCAGTCCTGTAATTGTTGTCATGACCTGTACCAACAGTCTATATACCCCCCCCCCCCTCCCCCCCCCCCCTCCCCCCCAAGAGTGTACAACTACAGCCTATGGGGTCTGCGACAGCCGAGTTTTGCATCACCTGACAAGGCCATGCGTGAGGCTGCCCTCGCCCTGTCCTCATAGCAGGTTGATGATCAACCATGTGACTGGTTGCGAATAAACACGGGCTGCTAAAAGCAATACAGGGTGCTAACTCGCTAATCAGTATACAATATATGTGGCTAATCAATACCGGTCACTTTCAGAAACAAGAGGGTGGTTTATGCTGGAATACATCAGAAAAGAGTCTTATATGGCGGGTTCAATGAACGGCCAAGAAGTTTGGATTGCGGCAATACGATTTCGTTTTAAAACCACTGCTGTACTCGCACACACAACCACACTTACACGCACACTCAGGTCCTACTAAACATGATCGACTACGGCATGGACCCACAGGCAGCTCTGGACGCTCCTCGGATCTGCATCGGTTCAGGCTACGGCTTCACAACGGAGTCGGACGTGGCCATGGAGGACGGCATTGACGAGGCTACGTGCCAGCAGCTGAAGGCCATGGGGCACAATATAGCAGGACCGGTGTGCGGTCACGCTCGCGCGCTCTTCGGGCGCGGCCAGATCATCGCGCCGCGACTAGCTGCGTCCGGCGAGCGCGTGTGGTGGGCCGGATCCGACGGCCGTGCTGACGGCATGGCCCTGGGTAACTAAGCAACACTTAACCAGTGTATAGTACACATACCGTGTTGCATCATCTCGAGTCGACAACATTCTGTATAGTTACCTATCATTGCCAACTCAACTATCTGAGCATGATTGGCTAAGGCGGCCTCTTTTATAAATTGTAAATACAGACAACCAGAGTGCCTCGCCGTGGTTACCGTGACGTTTACGAGTCAACCCACATGCTGGTGGCATCATGCTATTTGCAAATACTGTACGAAAACGGAGTACAGAATTTCATAGTATTCATTCCCGATTATTTCAGAGCAATTTAGGCACACGGAAACATTTGAATCAGTCTGCGATTTTTGCTCTGTGACTGCGGTGGATGAATGCATTCATATTATTCCTATCCGTGTTGATATTTTACAGAACCGCGAATTTTGAAACTGTATCTTATTATTCTATTTTCCAATCCTGGATACTGTAGGCCGATGATTTGTTTGCCTGCTGGCGTGTGTGAGCCCAACACCAGGAATGGGTGTCTGACATGGTCGCTGAGGGTATTATAGGCTATATAACTTTGATATTTACTTTCTTTTGTAATTGTCCTCTTCCTCTGGTGTGTGGGCTTTACTGCATATAGCCATCAGTATGCCCAGTATCTGAAATGGGCACTCGATCAGCCCATCATATCTGATGTTTATATACATGCACTGGCAGCAGTGCCGGGCGCCGAAGAACGGAGCGCCGAGGAACGAACAGCCTAGAATTTCACCGAGCACAGCATACCAATGTATAGACAGAGACTCAACTGTGCATAGACTGTAGTACATGAAAATAAGAACAGTCTAGGCTACGAGGCTGACCCCCCAGTTCTTCGGTGACTGACAGTACTGTACCCTTCAAGGTTGCCCATGCTGTCGGACCCTGCCTCCCAATTCGTATAGATTGAAGACAACTCCACCTGAGCTGAATGGTTCGCATTAGAGGTTACCCTGGTTACTTTGTAGCTACTAACACTCAGGCTGAGGCTGAGCACTTTTCATACCATGGCATGCAGGCATTTCGGGACCGCCACCGCAGTTTTCGACTGGTGCGGTCATACCATAGTTTTCACAATCGAATTATTATACCCTCCGTATGGCATGCCACCATGTGGGTACACTCAACCTCAGCAATACACATGAGTTGGTGTCCAATAGCAGTTAAGTTGGTGCGGTGGTGACCTGACCAACCGGACCGGCTCTGACGGGCCTGCAGTGTGATCGGCGTTCCATTACTAGTCGCTACCCATAATATACAGCGAAACCTGTCTAAGAATTACCGCTCAAGGGACCTTATAAGTGTGGTCTCTGTAACCAGGTGGTCTCCTTATCCAGGGCCATCAAGTTGACTGGAAATAGCATCCCTTGGTCCTGGCTGCGGTGCTCGTCTGGGACAGGTGGTCGCCTTGACAGGTTTTAATGTACCACTATAACAACACAGGGGCGTTGGAAGGTAATTTAGTGTGGTACGGTCAGCCATCTGAAGTACAATTTACTCGTGGGGAAGGGATGGCTGAGCTGAAATTTTTTGGGAAATTAGAGCCCAAATCAGTGCATTTTATTGATTCACAGGGTACTTGGGTCAAATAGTGGTACGGTCAATACCGTAGTGACCGTACCGTGTCCGACGCCCCTGCATCATTCCCGGATGATTATAGACTCAGTGTTCAACTACAAATTTTGTAAGCACTGGAAGAGACGGTAGATCACAGAAGGGCCAGTTTTTTTTGCGGTTTTCGTATATAGCCAGGGTGTGATACAATACGCCCTACAATACACTGTACTTCAACTATACACATACCGGTACATACAGCACATGAAGTACAATGTATACTGTATTTATTTATTTATTTATTTATTTCTGCACCTCGTGGCATGTCAAGACCGTGAGCCAATTAAATTGAGGAGAGGGTGAGACCAACCACGGAAGAAGAGAAAAAAGAAAATGAAGAGCACGCACACAAAGTGGGAAGGGATTAGCAACTTACAAAGCAATGGGATGCTCAGCGAGCTATGCAGCGGAAGTGGGGACTGTGACTTTGTTTACTGGGAGATACTGAAGTGCTGTCTGACGAGGGTACGGAATTTGGGCATATCTGGAGCTTGTCTAACACTGGGAGGCAGTTGGAGCCACGTGGAGTAGGAGGAAAAGAAAGGGGAATTGACGAATAGGGTAGACCTAGCTAGGGGGAGACGAACGCAGCTTCGGGTGGTGCCACCTGAATCGAACCAATTAAGGGACTGTAAATGAGCAGGGTGCTGGTCAAGAAAAATTGAATGTGCCAGGGTGCACTTGGAAGCATCAAGGTAATGTTGCAGAGTGGTAGTGGATGCAGCAGCATACAAGTCTAGATTTGGGATACATGTATAACGATCAGTGCGGAATATGATGCGCAGTATACGGCGATGGAGAACTTCTAATTTACCTATGTGGGTTTTGTTAATGGTGGACCAGGCAGGGAAGCCGTACGTGAAGAGGGGAAGAATGTATGATTTATAAAAATTAATCCGGCAATTTTGGGGCAAATGGGACAACTTGAGTATCACGTGTATAGGCAGCTTCATTGGATGATCATGGATCATGCTGCTGTTGTAATTATGTAGCTGGTACCCTCCTACATGTTCCACCCGCGTGTACTGATTCAGTCACAGCCACACCTTGGAAAGTCACAGTGACAATCCGCATGAACTAAGCGGCCATGATTTAGCACTGAGGCTATTACTAAACACCTTGGCAGTTGTGTAAGTTTTTTTCAGCAATGCCAATGAGAGTGAGCACCAGGATCAAGGCTACAACTACTATACAACAGCAAGCGGTAAGGCAGTAAGTTCTGCTACAATGTACTTCACATTCCAATTCAGTCAGTTGGGTGGGGGATCATCATGGAAGAAGGGATCATGACCAGGCAGTCACTGACAGTCAGTCACAGTGCTGCAGCGCATGCAGTGTCTTATCGTGTAGCTACCAAAATACCATGCCTATGGATTGTACGTATACCTGCTAATACTAATAGTAATACAGCCAGGCTGGTCGGAAGTGAACACAGGCGGCGGTGCTTCTTCGCCTGCTCAGCTGCTATGGACTCTTGCCACTACAACTATTACGTCTTACAAGTACAAAGTCATGTACGTGTGTGTGTGACAATAGCATATCGCGCTTCTTAGGATATAAATAATTATTATCCTGCTATCATCATGATCATACCCCAGTAAATATCATTTCCAATCCCGGCCCTCTTGATATGAGCGCTTCGAGCTCAGCAGCTGCGCTGCCAGCTTCATGCAAATGATGTTCGCTGATGACCGCTGCAGGGGCTGCTTATGGAGACCTAGAGTTGTCTATCAAGTATCATCTCCTATCCTTACCACAGCGCTTCCCATCCTGACCCGACAGCCGTGACCGTGGAGACGAATGTTGCATTATCTTTATTCACCCGCTTGTTGCCGCTGCTAATGATGACATGGACACCCAAGCTCCACATCGAGTGATCATCGGCAATCTCCTTCTCCCCTGTGAGAAAAAAATTCAAACTCAGCAGCAATCGCTTGGCTGTCTATGTACCGGTCCTGTCCAAGAAACGTGGCAGACGGAAGGAACTGACGGTGCTCTTGCTATGGGGAGATTCAAGAAGCCGATTGCCCGATCGATCACACTCGCACGCAGCGCAGGATGAGTGGTATGGACGTCGTTGAGCTGGATTCGACGAAGTAAACCATGGCAAAAACGGTCGAAGCCTAGCGCCTGCGAAGGCCATCAAAACAAACGAAGGTGCGACTCGGTCGTATCAGGTCGTTTCCAAAAACAGGCAAGCTGCTGCGGCCGCCACCTGCGAAGCGAAGTAGCGTCCTCAAGTAAGTCGTAATCATACAACTCCTGAAACCTTCAAGTAAGAAATAGTTGCCAGGGAAACAAGAAAATGGCGCTGCTACTGCACTGCCATGCACGCGGAGGCGCGCGCGTGCAGGACGAAAATTTAAAAGCGCCACACGTATACCATGGTATACGCGTACACGAAAAAGCGAAAATTAAAAGCAAAAAAGGACAGTACCAGCTCGTACAGGCAAAAAAGAACTGTCATGCTTTGCGCGCAGTGCAGTTCGCACATGTCGCACTACACCGCGTACCGGTACGGTACGCGGTGTGCGTTGGCCGTGGCTTGGCGACGTTGGCGTTCGCGTACGTTCATGCATTCTCGATGTCTTCGTCATCCGAAAACTGAAAAGGCTTTGTTGGATGTTGTGTATGATCGTGAACTTGAAGTGGGCACAGCATTTCTGGTTCTTGTTCACCAAATACCAATAGTTGACCTGCAGCCACTGTACAAAGGCTGTTTATCCCTTGTGGGGATGTAGGTCTACTTGCCAGCCCCAACAGCTGCGTCGGAACAGGGCTGTATTTCGCATCTCCACCGTGCCAGCCTACGGCTGACCCACTTCGTCTGGATTTGCTCGGATCTGGCGTACGGCATGCGCCTGTGGCGTTTTCGTCGTTGTTCGACGATATTGTTTGGCCTAGCAATAGCGTGGCTGGTGTGTGGAGCGGGGTACTTCTTGTACCTCAGTGTTCCGAAGTCCCTGTCCAGCGCTGGAGGTGATGCTCCGGAGGTAGCAGGTGCCAATGGGATCCAGGGAAATGTGAGAGCTGACTTACGTGGTGACGTAGGACAACAGGCCGGAGATCGTGCAGCTGTGGAGAACGATGCTGTCCGCGACGTGAGGCGGAATGTGGAAGCGGCGAACAATTTAGAGCCGGACGAGAATGCAAAGAGTGAACTAGTGGGCGAGCAGGACTATAGTAATGTAGTACTGGATGCCCAGAAGAAGCAGAGTGGTTACGATGGCTACGGCTTTAACGAGGCGCTGAGCGAAGCAATCCCGGTCAGACGCGCCGTACCCGACTTCAGGCATAACCTGTAAGTAAGCGCTCGCACGCACGCACGCGCGGCCATGTTCAACGCGCTGCTGCACCGCGCTTTCACAGTCCCGCTCATTGCACGCCTGGGCACTTTTGGGGAATGTCATGAACAAAATCAAGAGTGCATGAACATCAGAGTGTGCAGTTTCTGCATGTGGGTCGCGGCGATTTTTCCGGATTACCGGTGCATCATAATTGATGCAGATACGGTGTGAGCGGTTGGTAGTGCCGTAGGGCAGTCGAATGAACTGGCAAGAACAATGTAATCCAGGAAATTCGCCGTGACGGCAACCGATTCGAGCTGCGCTGTCTGGTTTTCGCACACTCTTTTGATAAAAACAAAGAAGTGAACACACAATTTGAAAATGTGCAGTACATAAGCACAGTACGCTCGGCGTTCCGTAGGATTCAGTCACTGCGGAAAATAAACGGTGCACTTTAATACTTGGTTATTTGAAACCACCTTTCATACGGAGCTGAAGTCCATGCAGCCACAATTTAGAGGCTGCGTCTGAACTCGAAGGAATCAAGCGAAGACGGTTGTGCTGGTACGCGAGATTTTGGTCTTGAGTACATGGGCATAGTGCGTGATGTAAGCAAGTCACAGTCATAGTGAAGGCAGCATGCCGCCATGCATGGACCCTTTAGGAAATGTAGGTTTGCTGCGTAGTTACCGCCGAGAACCAC